CAACACATTCCTGAAATTCTGATATGTATGAAATTCAGTTTCACTATGAAATAATGTGGTTAAAATGATGAACACCTCCAGGTAATTCTTATCTGTTGTTTTCTTAAAAATTTTATTATTTCAGTATTGACATGAACAGTCAGTTCACAGTTTTAATACCTGATTAAGAAGTTGTTAAACGCATGAGCTAAAATTTTCTAATTGAACAGACTATCTTAATAAAATCGACTTTGGGAATTACAAGTAGCTTAAACACCACTCTACCTACGGTAGACCATACACACGAACAAATGCAAATGAAGTCAGCAAATGTAGCAGCAGCCTCTGCATCGATAGGCCTCCACATTCACAAAGGGAAAAGCAAGATTCTCAAATGCAACACGGAGAACACCAATCAACCCAATCACACTTGATGGCGAAACTCTGGAAAAGGTGGAAACATTCACGTACCTAGGAAGCATCATTGATAAACAAGGAGGATCGGATGCAGATGTAAAGGCGAGAATTGGCAAAGCAAGTGCAGCATTTCTACAAATGAAGAGCATATGGAACTCAAAATAACTCTCAACCAATTTCAAGGTCAGAATCTTTAATACGAACGTCAAGACAGTCCTACTGTATGGAGCTGAAACGTGGAGAACTACTACGACCATCATCAGGAAGGTACAAGTATTTATAAACAGTTGTTTACGCAAAATACTCAACATCCATTGGCCGGATACTATTAGCAACAGCGTTTTATGGGAGAGGACAAACCAGCTTCCAGTTGAAGAGGAAATTAGGAGAAGACGTTGAAATTGGATCGGGTATACATTAAGGAAATCACTAATGTGCATCACTACTCAATCCCTAACTTAGAATCCGGAAGGGAAGCGGAAGAGAGGAAGGCCAAAGAACACACTATGCCGGGAAATAGAAGCAGATATGAAGAGGACGAATGTTAACCAGAAAGAACTGGAAAGGAAGGCTCAGGACAGAGTTGGATGTAGAATGCTGGTGAGCGGCCTATGCTCCTCGACGAGGGGTATCAGGCGTAAGTAAGTACCTATGGTAGACAACAAACGCTTAAATATAACCATTTTGGATAATTTGAATAATGTCAAATACAAAGATATTCATCGTTAATTGGTAAAGGAAGACAGTGACCTTTCGTTTTCTTAACATTGTCAAAACTTTTTTTCACGCATTCGGATAATTTAAAATTATTTTCACCGAAGATACTCATTCAGTTCCTTACACAAGCATTGTTTCAATCTATGAGATTCCATAGACCTCAGCATCTTTCATATCTCCTTCTACTTTCACGTATTACTCCTAACCGATTTCACATGTTAACATAACCTCACTGATGGTATTTCATTTTAATTTTAACATTTTATTTCATGAGTTTGCAGATCCCTATTCTTTGAGTATTCTTCTTTTCGTTAGAATGTCTATGACATTCCTGATGAATGTTTGTCTTAACAGGTATATTTTATTGTGTTATGAATTTGGGAATGAATAAGTTCCTTGAAGATTGTTGTTGAGTTCAGTGAAGTTACGACAATTTTAAAGTAAAGATAAAAATTATGCTTAAGTAGAACGGTGAATATGAACAAACATGCCTTTCTTATTCTTGAGGATTACTATACAGAGGACAGTCAGAGATTGTTGTTAAGGATTCATTTGTTTATCCCATACAACACTACTCTTAAACTGAAGTTTCTCTATTTCTGTTCATTGCATATGCAACTTGAGTGAATTGATATCACCGAAAGTACTCCAATAATCGACATGTCAAGAGAATGATGAGTGTGAAAAACGATGAAGCTTTCTATGTATTTGTAATGGTCATCAATTAGCTCAGCCATATGCTGTATCCAACTCAGTATGTAATCCGATTTTATTGTCATCACTGAGTATGGTTTATTACATTTCTGTATTCATTCGAAGATAATGAAGGATGGATGACTTCACTGTTGAATCCCGTCGAAAATATGCAGGTCACATTTAGCAGCAGAGAAACTTTCCACTATCAGAGACCATTTTCACAAACACAAGAATCTAGTGAGTTTCAACACAAAACTTTAAGACGAGCTGATCGGAATGCTATTGAGAATTGACTTGATCAATAATCCTACCACGATAGACAAGAAATTGAATTCATCCATTCATTGTTTTCACTCTCAACATGTGACGGTAAATCAGAATTTTCGTACATTATATTGCTGACTGTTAATATCTGTCTGTCATTTGTATATCAAGTATGAATGGGTTAAATAGCTCGAACGAATTCTCCTACATTCCGATGCCATGCTCATTTCCGTTAAAAGTGTTATGTTGAATGTGATGTGATTCGTTTTGGTCTGGTTCCAGATGGTGAGATTGTGGATAAGTAGTGGTGAGGCGTTTCATGCTGAGTCGAAACGGCTGGTCATTGTTTGCAGATTTTCAATACCTATCAAACTTCGGTCAGTTTGTAATCTCATGGAGATCCAATAGCTCTCAGACCCATTTCAACACAGAAGATAAAAACCCACTACCTTTCTAACTTTTTCGGTAGATTGCCAGTTTGTAAGATAGATAAAATCCCAACCATAGCATATTTTGCTGGTTATCGTTTCCCATTATTCTTTTGCTTATGAATCGACTTTACGATATAGTGAGTCACTTAATGTTGTGTTAAGATTCTATTCAACTAGACTATATTTGAAATTGACATAACCTAGCAGTGATTCAAAGTGATACTCAAACTGACTAGGAAATCAAGGAAAAGCCTTGCTCAGCTAAACTGATAGCTCGTATGTTAGTGATTGAATTACATTCCATAAAACGTACTGTAAGTCTGTTAATAAGACTAATCTCATCAATATTTATGCTTTCTATATCACACGTTGAATTCCAGTTCATTGCAAAACACAAAATCACACAGATTTAATCACGAGTCAAGGATGAAAATAGAGGTCAGCCATTTCTGAGAACACTCTGAAACTTTTAAAAACATCTATACGCTATTCTCAGCATTATCAATAGTTAATGAAATTTCTGCATTGTACTGTTTGAGGAATAGTTGAAGTTTAGGTCGAGAACTGTTCGAAGTAATGATACGTGTTTTGTTGAAGATTATTTTGCATTTCGTTTACTCATTATATTGTTGTTCCGAATCGTGTAGTTCGACACGATTCAGTACAGTAATATTTCATTACAACAATCTATATGTGGTAAATATTATTGAAAGATCGCGCTAATTAAACTACCATTCATTTTTATGTGAGTTCAGCACATAAATTGTCAATGCATCTGAAGTTTTTAAGAAATTCGTACACGATTATCTCCAGCTAACGGATCACTCATTTTTCTTATACCGATAATTTCAGTGAATGAATCAGCATCGTGAAGCACACCCACATCCGTCATTGTGACGTGTATATTTACGAATTATATTATTCATCAGTAACTAGTATTTTATTGTACAGTTTCTGTAACATACTTTATTCGTTGATAAAGTACTAACAAGCTATACTTGAACACTCCAGTGGATTCCGATTCATTAATCTGGGAGTTGAGTGAGATTGTGTGTTCTGGGTTCGACCACTGATTTTTTTGTCATCGATGCATACTGATTACGAATTTCATATTAGATTGAAACTGTCGTCCACCGCTTCCATGTTTTCAATTATTGTCTATCATAGATTCGTTCGTCATTTCAACAAAACTATCAATCTGTCTGATCAACTTTAATTGTTCGCATGTTTTTCCTGTTTGTACTGAGTATTAGCTGTCACTTCTCGCTTTATTCCTTTGAATATCAGTTTCGAAATCTTTCCTCCTAAATTCTCAGTTATGACAATTGAGTTAGTGTTTACGGTCAACCAGATAAGTGAAGAGATGGACACTAAAGTAACAGTTGTGAATCTGGTGATCGCACATATTAATCAATTTCCATCATCACTGGGACTTATTCATAAGCATTGTCTGCATCAAATCTATAGTAGCACAAAAGAATTCTCTGAATTCAGTTACATCTTCACTGGAGGTCAATCAGGTTTGCTGTGAGATATCAACTCACTGAAGACAATGATGGACGGTTGCTCGACTTTGTGGGTCGGTTGAAGTTAGACAATTACACCGTTGGATGCCGGCCGGCTCAGTGGTCTACAGTTTAAGGACTGATAGGTCCTGCGTTCGAATCTCGCGAGACGGGATCGTGGATGCGCACTGCTGATCAGTCCCAGACGAAACGGCCGTCCAGTGCTTCCAGGTTTTCTATTGTGGTCTAGCTTCAATTGACTAATGATTTCAATTATAAATTTACTAAAATCTCCACAAAAGCCCCTTCTGATTCAAATACAGTTGATTTTATGTGCTTCATAGATAACTTGGATTTGTCTATTCTGACAAACATCAGGATTGATTAAAAGCAACACGTAAGTAATGTTCAGACTATTATTATGATAGCCTAATGTAAAATCCATTCTTGTGTATAACATATGCGTAGCTAAAATATACCACAGAAATTATACACTCATATTTGTGGTAATCCCATTTCACACAGATTGTGTAGGAACATAGAACTACCCACTAACAGAAACTATGAAACTACTAACGATCAGTCGATCAATCGTTATGTCACAGTTTCATAATCACATTGAATCTATGCTCAAATGGTCATGACCTATGGTAAACACTCTGAAGGTTAAAAAAGTTCAAAACAGAACAATCATGTGAACAAGATTGTGTTTCTCACTGTCATCTTATATTCATGATCGAAATAAGATACTAATCATATGATATTAACATGCACGTTGTCTATGAGATATGTGATTCAATCAAATTTCTACAATTTCATTGATGTTACAATGTAATGAAATACATCTTATTCAGTAAGTGCTCAACACATAATGACAGCTTAGTAATGGGAAATATTTATGTGAGAAAGAAATCAAAGCAATTCGGTTTATCAATCAAACGTGTTTATGTCTGTAAGGATGTATACATTCTGAAAACAATCATAACCAGGATCATTTCTTCACAACAATTGTCAATCCATCTCCAGTTCTTAAGAGAGAAACTCGTATACTCTTATCTTCAGCTATCAATTCATTCATTTCTCTTATGCTGACAGTTTGAGGACAGTTATCATTCGGGTCGAGCACACGGTGGCTCCATAGAACCTGGGAAAGAAGTTAAAATTAAAATGGTATAATATACAATTATTTAGTACGATTTGGTGATACTGTAAGCATGTGTAATATTCACACACCAGAATGTCTATTATCTATCACATTACCAATAGCATTAATCGAAAAACAGAAGGTTCCTTGATCTGTTGATTTGTTTCATTCAATATGTCGGATCAACTTACATAACCCTTGTTCTCACAAGTCTTAATAAACCGGAAATATAGTTTTTAGCGATCCACAACCAAATTCATAAAATCTGAAATTTCAGTATCAAGCTCTCAAGTGTTTTGTTTGCATTATGAAGTTTGAAACGAGATGTGAAAATATCCCAGATAGCTGATCTCCAGCACATGAACTAAGGGATTAGAAAGGGCTACGGATAAGCATAGTGGATCATTTTCTGTATTATGCAATTCACTTGTCAAAATGTGAATTTAGACTAATTGAAAGTGAAATCAGAAGACTGATAAACACCACTCCTCATACTACCGCTGACTGAAGTCCGAATGATGAATTCTACGAAATTCTTTCTTCTCTATTCTTACATTCTAGACACTGGAACAGAGAGATGGTGAATTAGGATGAGTGAAATGTAGGAGCAACAGAAATAAGACAACTCATCAGTTCACTAGGAAGTAGATTGTTTATAAGTGTCATGTAGAATGGTGCAGACACTGTGATTAGAATCTATAAGATAATCAATATTCTATGTCAGATTATTATCAACGGTTAAACTGTGATCATTCAAATAACAAGAATCGTTTGAAGGCACAAATCAGTAATGGTTGGTTAGGACTATTACAAGAGGCCAACTTGAAATTCCTTCTAATCAATAACTTCCAATCAGTGAATCCAAGATATGCAGTTTGGTTTGAAATATATAGGGCTATCATTCAGCCAAAGGTGTAAAACTACAGTAGTTTATCATTATAATACTGCTTCACATTTCATTGAATATATGAAATGTTTCCTGGAGAATGTTTCAAATGTAGAAGCACTTTCGAGGGTGAGATATTTTCAAGCAGAAGATTCATTATTAGCCATTAAAATACCGACTCATCATGAAAAGTGACTTCACATTGATTGAGATACATAAAACATATGCTCGTTAATAAAACAAACTTACATTGTCAATGGCGATGATTCCACGGGGTCGAACTAGTTTTAAACATAATTTGTAATAATTACTATAGTTTTCTTTATCAGCATCAATCATGGCAAAATCGAATGTTTCACTCTCTCCATTATCAATTAAGTTTTCTGATGGAACAATAGTATAATGAAAATATAAATAATTCAGTTACTAAATCAATAAATAGTTTACGACAATCCTGTCATCAAACTGATCGTGATTACATACATTCAACTGTTATCGAATACTAACCGAATCAATATATTCGTTCAGCATCATCAGTGAAATCATTCTCAATTACTAGAAGTAAACCTCTATCGCTCATTTTAGACGTACCATCCATCTACTTACAGCATCCTAGTGTTCAAACCAATCTCCGAACGTACCAACAACTTGTCAAGATACATACACATTTGATGATTGTGATACTACATGTGTAGGTGAAACATGACGACAACTGTATGTGAGGGTGAAGGAACACATTCATTATTCCTCAAATTATATGAAAACGCTCACAAACAAATCAATGATAGCATTACACTCAATAGAGTTGGACTATACAACTGCTTACAATGGCACAAGAATCTTACAAATAGGTCTTAATCACTACAAAGAAAGACCAACAGCAGCACTTCAACATACGTGGACAAATATAAAGAATATTAATTGGTGAGATGGAGTACAATTTGCTCTCTCATAATAACTGATAATTATCAGGTAAATTTTAACTCCTTATCCTATTTGATAAATATGACTGATTTTCTGGATAACGACAATTACATTCAACAATTCTAACCACTTGTCTCAATTGAATATGATCAACCATTAACTGAAACAGCAAAATAACATAAATATGAACATATATATGAACATATATATGAAGATTGTATCAGTGTCGTAAATGCTGCCATGGCAGGTACCAGACACCCAATTTCGCAACATGAAGCAAAAATTTGTACTCCGGTACAACCAATGAAAGCCATGCCATTTAGTACTGAGGGACCAGTCGCTTTAGCAGCGACTGAGGACTCGGCTAGAACCACTATCGTCCAGAATAGTTCCAATCTGGATGCTGAGAATAGTGGTAAATGGATTACGCGGAAACGCAAAAGAGACGGAAAAATACCCAAAGAAAGCTCACGTATAGTCTATAAGTCATCGTTGGACTCACGTCCTGAGCATCAGGCAACTCCGCTCAAGTCCAAATGTAAGAAAATTTTTAATACTGTTGTGGATGGAAATAATCTAACTTCACCAAATGTTGTTGGGAGTAACTCGCTCGACCCACATGACACTGTTATAAAGAAAGCTAACAGTAAGATGCCGGTAGCTAACCAGCAGGATCTGACACCACGGTCAAAGGCCGTGAACACGACTTTTAAGGAAGTTAAACAGGTGCGTAGTGTAATCATCTGGAACTTGGCAGAATCGAAAGACACCGATCCCGCTAAGAGACATGCCCACGACCTGCAGTTAGTGGGATCTCTCATCAGAAATATACTGCAGAGGAGGTCCCAGGGGTACATATCTCGAAAGTCATCAGACTTGGTAAGTATGTTGGAGGCGAAACCCAACAGAGCAGGGTCCTTAAATTAGTACTTGGTAATTTTGAGGAAAGGGACGTATTACTAAATAACGCACGCAAAACTCGTGACTCAAACATTCGTATTCGACCTGACTGGCCACTTGAGGATCGGATCAAGTGGAAAAATGCCCTAACAGAGTTAAAAACTCGAAGGCTAAACGGTGAAGCGAACCTTACGATTAAGGGTTTTCGGGTAGTCAGGTCTTGGAAGCCAATGCTTCCGAGACCTGTGTGGGTAGAACGCATGTCTCCAAAAACACCCTAAATGTGTGTTATACGAATGCTCGTGGTCTTCGAAATAAGATGTCTGAACTAAGTTTGATGGTAGACGACTTAAATCCAGATATAATTGTTATCACCGAAACTTGGCTCACTGTAGATATAGACTGTTTTCCAGTCATTTCAGGCTACATCTGTGTCAGAAGTGATAGAGTTAGAAGTCGCAAGGGAGGAGGCATAATATTATATATTAGGGACCATTTCCGCATTAACTCGATCATATCGGAGGCGCATGTAAGTGGTACGTGTGAGGTAGTATGTTGTACAATTAGGTCTAGAAACGGGTTAGTGACGATAGGAGGAATATATCGTAGTCCGTGTTGTCTCGCTGACGACTTTATCCTAAGACACGTCTGTTCTTGGAGTGAAGCAGAATGTTGTCTCATCGTTGGAGACTTTAATGCAACCCATATAAACTGGATAGAGCTCACAGCTCCAGGTGGGGGTTTCGATAGCGTCCTTCTGTCATCAATTATTCAATATGCACTTGTACAATGTATCGTTAAGCCGACGCATATAGACTTGGAACATAATCCGTCATTGATAGACCTTGTCCTTACACACCACTGTGAAGATATCGTCGACATTCAACACCTTCCCCTACTGGTGAATAGTGACCATGTCGTACTTTCCTTTAAGTTCCGGATACATGGTATAGAATTTGCATCTGCTCCACCCCGTCCTAATATCTGGAGAGCTAATATTCCGGCAATCAGGGACTATGCTATCTCAATTGACTTGTCGGTCGATGCTGATGGATCGATTGATGATGCATGGAATAAGTTTAAGTCTACGTTCGAATCCGTAACTCAACCGTTTATCCCATGGTCAGCACGTAAGTTATCATATTGCCCTCCATGGATTAATAAGGAAACCCGGAAGCTGTTGAAGCGTAGGAAACACTTCTGGGACTTATTCTTGTCAACAGGTCAGGCATCATTTAAGTGCGAATATAAAAAAAATCCGGAATATATGTAAAAAGACCATAGCTAAATCCCGCACGGCTTACGAACGACAGTTGGCATACGATAGCCGTACCTGTCCGAAGCGACTGTTTTCGCATGTTAAAAGGAGGAAGAAACGTAGTGATGGTATCCCCTCATTACTGTTAAGCGAAAATTCAGCTTTATTGGCTGAATCTGATCTAGCGAAGGCGGAGACATTTGCTAACTATTTCAGTGAAGTCTACTCTACGTGCAGTTTTACAACTGCTTGTCCCGTTGACAATGAAATACCAGCCATAGGACCTTTGCACGTGACAGAGGATATTGTTCTTCCTTTGATAACTAACCTAAAAGCTTGTAAGATACCGGGCCCCGACGGGTTACACCCACGTTTGCTGTCGTCGCTTGCGGACATTATCTCAAGACCGCTCACGATGCTCTTCAACATGTCCCTTTCACAGGCTCAACTACCTAGAGACTGGAAAGACGCCATAGTTAGTCCTATATTTAAGGATGGTCAGAGACGGATAGTATCTAACTACCGGCCTGTTAGCCTGACCAGTATAGTAGTTAAGTTACTTGAGAAATTAATTCGGGCTAAGCTACTGAGCCACATAGATTCGTGCAATCTGTTAACTCCCGAGCAACATGGGTTTTGTAACAAGCATTCATGCTTGACTAACTTACTCATTGCGAGAGAGGATTGGACAACTGCCCTAGACAACGGCCAGTCTGTTGACGTGATATTCATAGATTTTAGCAAAGCGTTTGATAAGGTTTCACACTTAGGTCTTATGCAAAAGCTCTCAAGCTTTGGTATAACAGGTGCTATACAGGAATGGATAGGAAGCTTTTTATGTGACCGCAGACAGAGAGTGAGGGTCAATGGAACTCTATCCGAATGGAAACCGGTCAAAAGTGGTGTACCCCAAGGCACCATCTTAGGCCCTTTACTTTTCCTTCTGTATATTAATGAACTACCTTTATTACTTAAGTCGTCGACGTTATTGTTTGCGGATGATGCTAAAATCTGGAGAACAATAAGAAATGAGACTGATCGTTGTTATCTGCAAGCAGATTTAGACGAATTAGTTAGGTGGGCTCATGATTGGGGCCTGGAAGTTAATTCCAGGAAGAGCGTGTTCATGCACATCGGGCACGATATTAGTTACCATTATACCATTAATGGTACATCTCTGCCACGCGTTCATGAGCACAAAGACTTAGGAGTAATTATAAGTCACGACTTAAAAACTACTACGTACTGCAATGCGGTTGCTTCCAAAGGCTATCGCGCGCTATGGTCGCTTCGCAGAGCATTTAAATGCTTTGACGAGATGTCTCGATTTTTTTATCCCACCTATGTAAGGCCACATTTAGAATACTGTATCCAAGCAGCTAGCCCTTGTCTGATAAAGGATACTAAATCGCTTGAGCGTGTCCAGCGTGTAGGGACAAAATTAGTAAAGGGTCTTTCTAAACTCCCTTACGATGAGCGTTTAAAACGTCTAAACCTTTTCACATTGTCTTATCGTAGGACGCCAGGTGACCTTATACTGGCATTTTGTATCTTTAATTATGATCTGGGTGTTAATATGTCTTATCTTTTTGCTCCCTCCAGCACTAATAATCTCCGGGGTCATAGCAAGAAGGTTCTGAAACCGCGATCTAGTAGACTAAAGGTGGGGTCCCGTTTTTCTCATCGAGTGGTCAATGACTGGAACGCTTTACCAGAACAAGTGGTATCAGCACCATCAGTGAACATTTTCAAAAAGAAGCTGGACCTTCACTGGAAGGAAATCTGTCAGGATAAACACAGGTTCATCAACCTACTATCCTTATTACTGAAGACTGAAGACTGACTTCTAACAGGTGAAATCGGTAATTTTTGTAATGAGCTGTGGCTGAAACAAATAGAAAACACATGCAAATGTAATTTACTAAGATAAGAATTAAATATTGAGTTTCTATCGTTATCATAAGAGAACACACTGAAATCCTACTGAAGGAATTCAATATATGTATTCCAAAGAAGTAGGATTATCTACATCATCAGAGCTGACTTATAATAATACCATTACTGATATTCTACAGTTTTACACAAAAGACTATTACATGACGTTTATTTCTCTTTGTTGTAGAAAACATTCATTCAATTAAGTATATTTTTATTTTACGTGTAAACAGTATGAAAATAAGGTTACTATTGGTAGAGAAACATTTACAACACTCGAACGTTATCAGGAAGAAACACGAAATTAACCACATTCCGAAATCATTCTGAAATCCTCAGAAATAGTCGTTGATATGTAGAGGCAAAAAATGTTGTGCTGAGTCGTCGAACACTTAAAAACAAGATTCGAACTAGTTTAGCACTATATAGAGTATACCGTACTGAACTATTTTAATTTTTCTGTATCACGATTGGACGTTTTTTGTGTACGCTCGAACAATGTGTACTACATTCGCTTTTCATGACAATGTGTTAACTTGTCTGTTTGGAACACAGCACCCGTCAAATCTTCCAACTTCACTTCTAATTTCTACAATAATCAGTCAGAGATGATCCAGTGAAACTCGGAAATACTTCGTTGCATTCATTGGCATTTAAAGCATAAAGTTATAGAATTATTTGTACTTTCATCTGCTTGGAATTTCCTAAACGATTATATTAACTGTGAAAACACTCGAGCAAAGTACACGACTCATGTACTTAAGTCAATAAATGAAGTAGATCAACAATAATAATGTCATCATATGTACGCTTTTCGTGATACAGTTTATGGATAGAACAGTCACCAAACGTAAGCGGTATCAAATGAACTGAACCGACTCCAACTTAAATGTTATTACAAGGTCACTAGGAAGTTGGTTCACGCACTTCGATGTTATAAAACAATACGTTCAAAGTTTTTTGAACGTAAAAAAATCATACTTAAAATTGAGTGCTGATAAGCAGAGATTTTTATGTAGGCTACCTTAAAGGTGATGTGGCATTTTTCGTTATCTAGTAAACGTTTTTGTTTCGGTTGTATACTGATATGTAGAAGCTTCTTTTATATTTATTTGAGTTGGATTTCTTAGTTTCAGTAATTTACAGAATTCAACCTTTTATTTTAAGTGTTTGTCACTTATAGTGCTTTAAAATCACTTAATCTGGAGACCAATTATCTGTTTGTTTTCGCCTTAAGAGATATTTTGTGTTGTTCTCTCTGTTTGACTATCTAACAATTTTCATCGCGTAAACAAAACAAACTTTTTCTGATCAACGATGGAATGCAGTGTGTCACCTGCAACAGGTGTTATCACAATCAGTGCATCAAACTAATATCGGAAATGTTGCAAGTCACACCAATGTGGCTGTGCAAAGCATGCTGTTCTACTAAGCCTCTGCTGATTTTTCATTCAATTGTACTGCCTAACGTAGTTGAAATGCTGCCCTCATATGAATAGTCATTTGCAGATGGGAGGTTGTGTGATTCCAAGAAAGTATAGAATGTTATCGTGAGTTCAGCCTTAGATTTATATGAAACCACCAATGCGGACCCCCATAACAGTGTGTAAAATAAATACAGGTTTGGGCACGGTTCAGAAAGAAAGAAAGAAAGTGCACACTGGGACGAAACAATTTATATCGAGCTCTATAATGAGTCAACGGTTTCAGCTTCCGATTCACATATCAATGCGTACCAGACTACGGAGGATAAAAGCCCGAGCTGTGCAGACGACTCGATCAAGAAACAAATATGGTAAATGATTGACTTATGGGAACACTTAGAAAGTTGAGGAGACAGAGTAAGATCTACACGTCTGTTGGCAGCTATGACTTCAGAGATAAGAGGGTTTTAGGAAAAAGAATTACGGGCTTGTCAATACGGATTTCATTGGGTATTCATTCATCTTCCATTGGTAAAGGCTTTAGTGAAATGAGCAAAGGTTTGTTAATACGGATTTCAATGAGAAGCGCTGGCATGAACTGAAAGACTTATATATGGATCTCTGGTTGGATGATGGTGTTAAGAATTGATCGACTAACACAGAAATAAATTGGCGCCTCCGCAACTGCGAAAATAACCTTGTGACAAAGGATTTGCACATAATGAATGTTCGCAGTAAAACGACTCTGAAACCACTGTGAATGGTACGGGTAAGTATTTCACAGAAATTCGAGTACTTCGAAAAAATGCTTGCAGACTACTTGGTAATATAACAGCGCCCATAAACGTGACCAACTCAGGGAATCCTGACGTCACTGCAATCCGAGAAATATATTTAACAATGAGAGGTGTATGATGGTGAAATTCGAGTGCTTGGTTTCTAACTTTATGAGTCTGACAGATTAAACGACTCAGAGATATAAGAACTAGTACGCTGCCGAACGAAATGCACAATACAAATCATTGGTTTACCTAGAACATGATTAAAAATTGTTAGGAAATACAATTACCTCAGCTTTATTCCAGCGCACCAGATGCCAACAGAATCAGGTGCCAAAATAACCCACACAATTCTCTTACTCCAACTACATATAAGAGTTGTTACGAGTCCATGTCACAATATTTGTATATAACACTCCGTTCAGTTCTGCCTATAATGATGTTTAACACAGGTAAAGGACTTCGAAGTTTCACATTGCGGAAAACACTTTTGCTGTCTTATCCTGTCTTCGTAACCAGTGTAGTGATTTCGCCTGATGACTGGTTAGATAAATTTAGGAGTATATCAATGAAGTGTATTATGAGATATTAGAGAAATATAAAGTGAACCTGTAGAATTATGGTCTACTTAGTTGTTGGTACTGCAATAATAATAGACCTAATCCTAAAATTGTAGATTTGTCATGATTTGACCCTCTACCCCATAAGATCTTTCGTGTAGGTCACATCACTCTCTACATTGACTAGTAATTTATTCAACACCAATATACCATGGAGAACACATTTAGTCTGAAGATAGAGCAATATATTTGATATGAATAAAATTGAAGTTATACCAGAATGACCATGCCTGCAAGTCATGCCATCTGATGAATTCAGCTTCCAATTAATGTGACCACGTCCACCATTATTGACATTCTCTCAGTGTTACAAAAAAAATAATTTTCCCAGTTTTTTCTTGTTTAGCATTGACGATTGTGGTTAGGATTCAGTGCCACTAAACCATTCTCCCACAGGAATGAACGTGAGGAAGTTTGTCGTCCGTCAGAGGTTACCGAGAGTAATAGGAATCCTCCGGGTGCTGATAAGCTGAAAATTGAATCAAAAAGGCAGCAGCAACTGATTACCAAGTACATGTAATAACCTTGAAATTACTGTTTTACTGCTTAACACGCTTGAAATGATAATCTACCTGAAGATTATATAGGAGTCGCACAAAGTGAGATCATAACAGTTAGGAATAGTTTCGTGTGAAGATATTTTAATATGTCATCGTAAGTTAAGTAGTAATGGACGTTTGTTAATAACCGTACTCATAGATAGAACAAGTATTTCCTGCGAGATATGTACTAGACTCAATGTCATGTATATTCATATCTACGGACTGATGATGCATACAAACGCTGGTTGGTTAAAAATAAAGTGATTGAAGAGTGTTGAAACCGTTCAAGCCTATGTTATAAACAGGTGGTGTGGTGTTGCACGATGCTTCCAGCTAAATAAGTCTTTACAAGATAATAAAGAGCGAGTGATCCTCATATGATTATCAGGGAGAACATGAATTGTAATCAATGGGAGTACACTCCCAAATACTGTCTGTGATAATGGCTTGCACCTTGAACAGTGTTAGGGTAAATTCGACTGTGGTTTCGGTTTGCAGGAGATTTGCTCCACTGCTTATACTCATGATTTGCATGCATGATTGTGTCGCTAAACCTCCAATTAGACTGACAAGGTCTAAAGATATTTACTGAATTAGCAACTGATAGAGAAACATACTATAATCATCTGTAGTGGATGAAGATAATCAGAAAACAACACTACTTAAAGATAATTTTAAGCCAATTTCTTGACCGACTTCCTTATTATTTTCATCAATTTAATCAATCATATTACATGATTGTCAGGTAATGACAATGAATTATGACGATATCCTCAGACGATTATGGTTGACTAGTTATAGTGCTGATAGAGGATTAACCAGTGGAAAATAGGTATTGTTGCTTAAGGTGATTCGAAATTATTCATAGTGTTTACGAATCCGAGCTGCCTGAATATATTACTGATTACAAACCGAAAAAGTTCGTCTACATAATGTTAATTTTAATATTACACCCAAGTGTTATTGTTTTGAACGATTTCGTGAATAACAATTATATGTTATATGAACACTCATCATTTCACATCACACACCTCTTACACACTAATACACATACCTAGTTTAGACATTGTTAACGTTGATTGGATGACCTATTCAGTGTACAATGAACCCGGAGAACCATGTACGTATTTATATTTATATTCGATAATTTTGATTATAATTCCTTGAAAAACTTGAACCAGATTGCCAGGCGAAACGTTGGATTTACTACAAATTCATTCGCAGAGATTTTACAAATATATTATTCCTATTTAATGTCTTACATCAACTCGGCGCTCAAATACTGTGAAATTATTCGCTCTAATTTAGACGAGAGTTCTTATAAATTACATGATAGTTCAGCAATTATACCAGTGTGGTATGATAGTACGCAAATTTCGTGACTTTATTATCTAAGCTATTTGCGTCCTTATAAGCAAATAATATGATAGACCAATTCATAAGCCCAAATGCGTATAACGATGATGATTGTAATGGGTTTAGTGAAAAATGTTAAAGGCTGTTCAAATAATTATTAAATTCAAACGACAGAGAGAAGATATAATGCAACGCATGTACAAACCAGGTTTACATGCCGGGTGTTGAGGTACATGACAATTTGAAAATTAGTTTTGAAGTTCAGACTACTTATGGAACTTCAGTTAGGAATATGACGAGTTATAAACTTTCAATAAGAATGTACTATAATTAGCCTAGTGACATTTACAAATATGTAGGGTGGGCGATTGTTACTAAGAAATCTGAAACAACTTTTTGAATCTGATATGCTTCGTCTGTAAACAACATTGCAGTATGATGTAGTATTTAGCTATTAAAAATATCTTTTACCAAAAACGCTTTGGGCGTGGTTCATATAAAATATGTATACGGCCAGTGTAAATGGAAATACACACATGCTAAGAAGTATAGAAAAAAATATGACAAACCATCGATCGAAATGGTTCAACTCGCCTGGATTGTTTCTGGAAATTGGATCACCCAATAGATTTGACGTATATAAGACCAGTCGTGACAAGTAGTTATGATCCAAAAGTAACTAGATTAAACATGAAGTGTTCTAACCAGTTTCTGGGTGTGTGAAAACATTAACTTGTTGTTTGGTTGATTGAGTGAAATTCCAAGAGTCTAGATAAATACTTGGCATTCAACATATAGGCAATCTGAAATGAGATTAGGTTTGCAGAAATTTTATAGCTTAAACTCATTGCACAATTCCGGAGTATTATCATTGTTGTTGGGCAATGGAACTCGAAAATTGGAAATTAGGTAGGCAGTGGTCAGATATTATAGGATAGTCCATAGTTTGAAAGTGAAACTTTAAGTGAAGAAACAATATGAAAAATGATCACGCCTGCAAGGCTGAGCCATGCCATCTGATGAATTAAACTTCTAATTAATGCTACCGCGTCCAACATTCTTGACCGTCTCTCAGTGTTACGTGTTGAAAATTAATTTTCCCAGTTATATCTTATTCAGCATTGATGATTGTGGTTAGAAACTGATGCCACTACAAACCCACTGGCTTGTAAACCTGCTTATAAATTGTATTTGGTTAATCAGCTTCCCTTCCCCTTTGTGTGGCGACACTCATTACGACGTTACACTTTCAGTGTCCTGTTGTGAAAGCAGGTTTCGCTTGATGGACGATTCTCAGTTATATTTCGGTGTAATACTATTCCTATATCATGTTGTGATGAGCATAGTGTAGAAGACCTGTCTTAAAACCCTGTAATCTTGGTGGTTGGCTGAATGCGTTGTGTTAATTACGAATATCGATTCTACAACTGTACCAATGACAATGCTTTTTAACGTGAATGGTGAGACCAAGAACATGTATCTTGTTTTCATGCAAGTCAGAATCTTGTGGTGGAAAGCCTCAAGTTAGATGTCAAATTTTATTAACAAATATTCATATGTAATGGAAGTGTGAGATATGATATAACGCAGATTGGCAATATATGAACCGCAAATTTTTTCGTGATGGAAGAGATATAGCCATGATATGAAAGGACAGAATGATCTGAATTATAATACTGATCCTATTATCTCAGATGAATGTAGGACAAAACAACACATACAAACTTAGAGGGTAATATGATGTGTTGGTAAAAGTGACATATGTTTAGACACTGAGCATGGAGAAAGAGACAATCAGTCTACTGACAATTAAATGTGATTTTCTTTCCTCTCAATGATTAATGCCTCGGACGCACTAAGAGACTGCATGTAATTGTGTCGAATAAAATACTATCTAGTGTTATTCCGGTTCTTCATTTTGATTATTGAATCCTGCATCTTATATAACGTGACTAGTCTGATTATCGTACTAACGTATTACGGTATTATGCCTGAGAGCAAGTAAAATATCTTAAACGAACCACACACATAAAACGTTTTCAAATGAGTCACAAACCAAAAACATATTTCACTTCTATCAGGAAGCCAAATCCACCACTAAAAAGCTAATATGAACTCAATATGCAGCCTCGTATCATATTGTCCGACAACATCCAGTAGCAGTTTGCAGAAATAGAAGTAAATGAATACTTTCGTAACAGTGGAGAGCACGTGTGAAGATAGTCAGGACAGATTAATTTTTGATAATATTTGTATTATATTAATTAATTATCAAATTAGAAGCAAATCGAACTATTGAGCTTCTGCACTGAGGGTTAGATGAAAACGTACTATGTAACTATGAAAGAAACCAATGGGATAAATTGTATAATTCTAATCAAAAGGTGATAAGTAATTCCGCATTCGAAAAGATAAATAACTTCTGGGAGACAATTTAATAAGGGGATGCAGGGTTGGAATATTTGCAAGTAGATTTAGGTAGAAAGACATACAGGTATTGTGTGCCAATCAATTTTTTTATTCATTTCTAGGCTGACAATTAATAGACAGGGAGGAACTCACGATATCTAAAACTGAAAGGTGTTCCTTGTAACCACAGCACAAACAGTTGATTTTCAAAATGCTCGGAATCTCCAAAACAATGAGGAAGCTTAGAAACGATTACAGAAAACATTGACTCAAATGCCATCTCACAATTATGGCTAAAAGTAAACGTCAGAAATGGTGTGCGAGGTATCATACAGTACTAAACATGTACACTAACAATAAGAGCTATTGACACAGTGATGTACAACACAGTTGCAAGTGAATCGCCAAATTGTATAACGTAACTCTGAATATATAATGGGTGATTTACTGCCAAAGTAAAGGGTAGCACTCATACATCGGAAGAACATATAGAACTCAAAACATACATCAGCTACACGAAGACGACTCACTTATGTTTTCTTAGTTCTACTACGTATAGCACTGAGTCACACACGATAAGTCTGAAATTTGTGATCAAAAGTCTTTTCATGCTAGTTTCATGTGGTAATATGTTGGGGTGTTTGCGACGTGCAGTATTCTTTGAATCAAGTAGTAAGGGACTAGTTTTTCAAAAAAAATTGAACTAGCGAAAAGACGCGATCACGGTTGCGAATATGGAGAAGAGCCTTTCTTTTCATTAAAAATTAAAGGGATTCCCTCAAAATATGGAGATTTTTGAATGGACTCAATGGACGATTCCTTATAATTTAGTAAATATAATGCAGACTTAGATATTACTAGTTGTATTTCCAACAGGACTTTCAAAATGTTCGAAGGATTCTCGGAGTTTGGAGGTTAATACTACTTATTTACATTTGAAATTGTCTTACTGGATAAGTTAGAATGATTTGCAAGCAACGGTAATATGCATACCCTCTCAATTAAGTTGATTTAAATGTTATTGGTGTGAATCGTCTGACGATGATTGATTGGTCTGTTTCAGGACCCACTTAAGGTGTGAAGCTATATTATGTTATCAAGCTGCTGGAATAAAGGTGTAGAAGACAAACTGTCTAGCCACTTGCTGGATAGCCAAGTATATCTACCAGTTGGACATGAATCATGCAAATAACTGGATTCGAAGCAACAATCGAGATACTTTTCATAATATCTTAACGGATATAATGGAAGGCGACATATGAATGTAAACTACAGTTAGAATTTAGTAATGGAAGTTCGAAATTAATTTCTAAAATAAAATATATCGTGCAGTCCACTCAAAGAATTCGATGAGTATTTAGGTCACTGGTTGCGTTATTGTTAAAATCCTGACGATAGATTTTCTTTCCATTAATGTGATTCATTGAGATCGAGTGGAATATACAGGACTGTATTTATGAGACTAACGATCAGTATCAGATGGGATTAAAAAGTGTTGATATGAACGTTCATAATATCAAAGCTTTATACTATCCAAGCGCTCACTGAGACGGTCGAAAGCATTCAACAATCCATGAGGAACCAAAATATATTCCATCAAATGCAAATTCAAAATACTTAACAAACCTACACAAACATAATATGCAGCTGACATCCAAGAATGAATTGAACACAGTGTATATGAACAATGTTGAAGTAATTGAACATAAATGCAGTTATTTCATAAAATTCATGGCTTTTACAGTGTTCTGATTTCAAAACCATATCAAGTAATCTACAGAAACAAATTCTTCCATGATTAGAACAGTATACTTTGAGATTCCTCTTCTTTCTATTTATGCATAAATACGAGAAAGTAATTTTGGAAGCACCTAATATGACTATCATTATTCTTAGGCATACAATAATACTTACTGTTAGTTAGATACATCAGTAATGTCATCATTTGGTTAGGGTGTTACATTTAACAAAGTGAAATATTCTTACCGAATCGTTTTGAATAAGTTTAAAGAATCGGTTGGTTGGCAAAAGTGTTTTTCCCACTTTTTGCTTACAAATCACATCATAACTATATGGATGGTAAAGGGGGAGATAGTTAAACATATGTATAATGGAAACAATAACAAAGGTACAATATAAAAGAGTAAAGAGGAACTGGAAGCAAGTAGAATAGCAAAAATATGATAACATAAATGTTTACATAAAACAACAGCGCATCATTTTCCGATGTACGGAACGCTGACGAAATACACCAGCTTCAGAAGTGTAACCATACTGAGATATTGATATCTCGATTTGACGAAATACATTCGATTTATCAAGTGAACAATCGGAAAGTAAGAATAAAGGAAACTGGAACAAGGTAGTAGTTATCAATGAAAATGAATAATAATAATAAAACAAAAACAAGAACATCTGAGGTGATATTTTCAAAGGGTGCTTGCTGCAGAACATTATATCAAAATACAAACAAATCGATTATGGATTTGTTGTGCAAAAGAGAAAAAATAAAATGTAACCAAATTAGAATGAAACAATCGTTGCAAAAAATGATGAACGGAAAAAAAGTTAATTAAAAACTGATTTATTAGAGAAAGCCCACAGAATGTAAAGCCATACATACATACACGTAGAAGCAGCAACATACATAAAGTAGGGAAAAATTAAGCCAAATATTCATAAGCATCTCGTTCATTATTATCTCGTTTAATATATTCTCTTTCAATGAGAGCAGTAATACATCGCTAAAATATAGAAGAAATAAAAACAAAAAAACATTCGTGTTAAATATGCATAAATCAGATGATGTTTTATGGAGAATTTAGTATTTTGACAGTTGAAATCATGAGTCAATTGAAGCTAGACCACCAGGGAAAACATGGAAGGTCGTTTCGTCGTATTGTGGGACTCTTCAGCAGTGCGCATCGACGATCCCGCACTCGCGAGATTCGAACCCAGGACCTACCAGTCTTGCGTCAGAGCACTTAACCTCTAGACCACTGAGCCGGCTTCCAACGGTTTCAATGTCTACCTTCAACTGATCCACGAAGTTGAACAACCGTTCACCAATTGTCTTCAGTGAGTTCCTATCTCACAACAGACGTGGTTTAAATCTTGCGAGTGCGGGATCGTGGATGTACACTGATGAGGAGTTCCATAATAAGACGAAACGGCCGTCCAGTGCTTCCAGGTTTTCCATGGTGGTCTAGCTACAATTGACTCACGCTTTCAACTATTCAAATATTTACAATGATCAAAACTAGTGACACTAAACATATGAAAGTTCAATATTATTTTATTAAATCACATATTCAGGAGTCCCTTGTACTCAAGTAATTCCATCTACTCTGGTGATTCGTATTTCCAGCTTCATTAACCATCAAAGCTTGTGATGTTATTTTTATTTGTTTTCCATTTCATGTGATTATTCACCCTCGAAGCGATATACATTTGTAAACAAAAAATCATTTTGAATACACTTAGTACTGCTTGTTTTAATCTTCCCATTGGTGTTTAGGACTGCAACTGGTTAGTCTCTAATTGGTATATGTGCATACTGTGCGTATTGCCGCGATATTGCCTTAATTTACAAGCATTGTAAGGAAAAATAGATAGTGGATACCAATGGAATCCAGTTTGACGTGCGTTTCGTCCTATTTGGGACTCGTCAGCTGGATTTACCTGCATCTCAGAGTTGATGTTCACTCTGGAAGTGAAGTTTAAATTCACATAGTATTACTTGTTTGAATCTTCCCATTGATGCTTAGGACTACAATTGGTCAGTCTCTTATTGGCCATACGTGCATACTGTGCGTATTGCCTCGAAAACTTATTTTGATGTCTGCTTGTCTTTAACCAACTAATATTAGCACTGAAACATTTAGATATGACTGAATTATCTATGAATACATGTATATATTTCAACTGCATCGACCAAATTAAGTGATGAATAGTATTTGTTTATTCATATAAAGAAACTTTATCTGAATGAAACTCAACAAGTAAAATTTTTGTCCTTGAGTTCGAGCTACAATTTAGATGTGAGAATTAGTAATACTATCCAATTACACAAACCGAAAGTTTAAGGGGAGTTGGCAACCTGTGACGAAAGTAGTTGCGGCGTTAACTATGTATCATCAATCGAAAGTGAAATGCCTAGAGGCAGAAAGTTAAGAAGATTAAAGTAAAAGAGAACGAGAACAAACAATGATTGGTGTGAAAGCGAAAGAACAATGAATTTTGAGACGATTGATTGACATTTTGCAAATGAAGTGTTTACTGTATGGTTCTCAGATGTACTGTAATTTTGTGTTTAAATACATTTAATTGTCCCCACTTGTTTCCTCGTTCACTACATCTGCTCTATCTAACCAATCCAGCAACAACCATTAGAAATATTATCAAAGTTTAGGTGTATTTTATATTCATCAGCATTTACGAAATTCTGAAACAAGAAATTGATGTTATTCTATTCAATTTCTTATATATACTAGTCAATTGGATTAGTGAACGATAAAATAGAGAAAGTATTTACACTATCTATCATATATATTATTAAATAAAACTTACTTTAATTAATAATACAGTCGGTTTAAATCGAGGTGTTAATTGTGTAACAACTTCAGAGATCAATTGATGGTGTTTCATTACTTTTCTAGTCTTCATAATACGGACTATACAAGCCTATAAGAGGAAGAGAATAAAAATTAAAGATTAAAATGGATTGAGACACTAAACACAAAATTTACTTCATTTTAAACGTATAACTCGGTTTAATAGTAAAAAAGCTGAAGATAGGGTAAGTTGATCAGTCCATCTATAATTAAAACACGGTCGGATTCTTAAACAATTTCTTCTGATCAACATTGTCATCTTCGCCTATATCAATGCATTTAGACGAGATCATGTACACACGTAGGACTGGAAAAAAATATTGATACCACTTCTTTTGATACACAACTTGTTAGTTTCATTTCGTCACACTAATGTGGATGTATCAACTTCGGCTAATGAACTCATTTGTTATGTTAGGTTCCATGTATATCATGACTGACTGACTAACAAACAAATGAAATAATTACATACCAGCTTTAACTGTCAGCCTTGCATGTTACATCGAATTAGTGAGATGAGACTACCATCGCTGTGTCTCTGCCTACATCAAACTAAATGATATTCAGATAGATTTCAAAACTTCATAATTGAAGATTATTGAAGTATGTGTACACCCCTAAGTCAAAACGTTATTTTAAATAATTTCTATTTCTATTTAAACACATGAATATTGGTACAAAGTGTCACAAGATATATATGCGCCGGACAAATCTCATTTGATTTGTGTGAGGGATGTGATACTACCCAGGTGCCCAAACTGAATCTTAGGGGGCCACACCCCGAGCCTTTGACCTAAAGGTCTGATCCACAAGGTGGTGGAGCATCGTGAGGAGATGCAGTCCCATGGTAGCCAGCGACCAACGACTGATTTATATGCCATTTTATTGCCTCAGGATACTGGAGCCTTTGTGCATCATTGGTTTGGAATCAGGGTTTTCGAACTCCTCTAGCTGGACGAGTCGTGTTCACCAACCCAGTTAAAGCACCGGACATTCGCTTTTCGTCATCTCGATTTCGTAAACAACACCCCCACCGAGAGAAGACAGTCAGTAGGACTTCCCTGGCAGAGGCTATATATGCGTGGCCATGTTAGAGCATTTCGAGAGGGAGAGAGGACTCTCCTCACTCTTGGCCGTATCAGGGCATAAAGTAAATGAAGATATTCATACAAATTTTCATCAACAACAAAAGAATTAGAATTTTAAATAGATAAAGCATTTTTTTGAAGATCAACTAACCTGAACAATTAATTTTCGATCAGATTCTACATTCCCTAAAGTTTGTTCAATTTCTTGTTTTGTTTCACTTTTCAAAGGAACATTTAAATAAACTCGAACACGTTTACTAATGGAATTGAGATTGACAGGAACAAATAGCAAAGAGAGAGAGAGCAACAAAAAAACGATGATTGAGAATCATTATTTGTAATTTTTTGGTTTATAAATTGGTTGGGAAAAAAAACAGACATTTTATATTCACTGGTTAGGATCCGCGAGATGATAGCAATCGGTGGTTAGAGACCTTGAATGACATGACCCAAAATGGTTTGCAATGGAGAAGGTGCATCCACTCTTTTTGTTCTCCGAAATTCTAATCTTCTGAATTCTTCATGTCCCTATACTATTTCTCTTTCCAAATTTATTTCATTGGATTATACTCCTTCAATAACATCTTCGAACCCTAATCTTTCGGATTAATGCTTATACTCTTATTACTTCTACCACTATGGAATTTGAATCGACAACTAGATCTCTGAGCTAACGTGGTATGGCAACTCGAACTGATGTACGTACTTACGAAGTTCTACGTTATGACTGACTGAACAACCAACAGTAATGAAAACAATAATTTCCCTTTTAATAAGATTTAGTTTGAGAGAAGATGAATATTGGTTACATTTGTTTCTCATTAGCATACACTAGTTACTATGTAAAATTCCGCTTAGAATATTGGATGTTAAGGTACCTTATATAATGAATATGGTGACATTTCTAACAAAAAATTCATAAGTGACTAGTGACGTAACAACTGCTTTTCAAAAATTCACTTGAAATATAAGAAGTTGAGATCAGGAATCAACTGAAGCTAGACCACCATGGAAAACCTGGAGGCACTGGATGGCCGTTTCGTCGTATTGTGGGACTCCTCAGCAATGCGCATCCGCGATTCCGTCTCGCGAGATTCGAACACAGGACCTATCAGTTTCGCGCGCTAGCGCACAACCTCTAGAACCACTGAGCTGGCATCCAACGGTGTTAATGTCTGGCTTCAAGATCTCAACTATTAAAATTAATATAATATCCACAAAACCCCTACTGATATATAAAAAGTTGTTATGAAATCTCAGATAATAAGGTTGTTTCAATGTACTTCATGAAATCGCATGAATAAATAGATTTCTATATATAACTACAATGTAAAGTTGCCAACTAGATTTAGCGCGTACAAGTGAACATCGTACGAAATGACGTTGTAGTGTGAAAGATAGCTGTACAGTGTTGACACCGGTCGGTCCATTACAACTTTCCGACTGCAGTTACCGAGATGGTGCAATAGTGTGAAACACTATCAGACAAGACTCAGAATAGAAGCCAACAGAGATGATGTCATAGTTTTGTTTTACATTCTTACACTTACATACTACTAATGTTCACTTTTTCTTTCGTAATTTAATCTTTGTACTAGCTCGATGCATCCTACTTTCGATGCCCGCTTCTATTACATCTATATGTATCGTAATAATTAAATGAACAACAAATTTCAATAGGCGATGTGTTTATGTGATGCATATATTTTATAAGAGAGCTTTTCACCTATTCATGAGAAAATTACTATATTATTCAGAAACCAATTATATTTGTGATGCTTGGATCAGTCAGTCAGTCACAACGTAGAACTTCGTAAGTAGATACATCAGTTCGAGTTGCCATACTACATGAGCACAGAAATGCAGTTGTCCATTCAAATCCCATAGTGGTAGAAGTAGTAAGAGTTTAAGCAGCGTGAACTAAATTTCCCCTCTCCAAAATAGAGCAGCAGAACTATTCGTTCACTAAGTTTTCATTAAAACTATATTAGTTACATCATTCCTTTATGCACTTACATAATAAAATATCGACTCAATGCTTGATAAACATAATTAGTTAGACTTTCTTATGATTAGTAGCAAAAACTAAAATGATCATTTTTACACACAAGATAAATATTTTTTGAATGGAAGATACGAAGTAGCTTAAACTTAAACATCATTGTACACCCTGATTGTCCTTATTTATTAGTAATAGAATAGACATAAGAATTACCAATAGTCTAAGAATATCACAAAATACAATTATACAGCTTCTGAAAGCCGAAAATCTGCATTACTTGTAAAGAATCTTGGTATTTGTTTATCTTGTAATAGGCTGTTTCTGAATTTCAAGATCACTTATCAAATAAATACAAATACGACTTGTATAGTAATATTAGGGGTCGTATCGTGAGAAAGATTAGTTTAGTTGTTGTAGCATTTGCCGTGTAACTGACTATACTGGTTCAAAGTCAGTCTCAGTAGTGCAGATCCATTAACTCATTTTCTTCTCATAGATTTTAAGTGTCAAAATTATTTTATACCATTTTATTCTCCATTTAATAATTATTTCACCTTGAATTACATTCTAGATAGCCAATATATATTCCATTATCACTGAAACTATTAATCCTTTTGTATTCATTTTGCTGTACTAATGTGGTGTTGGAAGAGAGTTAGTGGCAACCAAACCAAAATGTGGCATTAGTGCTTGCAGTCATTAACTTCTAGTCTGAGCCATTTTGGCATATGCAGACTACTTGGTTGGGGTCCACGTGACTATCACAACCAATGGTTGGAGACTGTGAGTGACGTGATTCAGAATCGATCACAATGGCGTAGGTGTATACACTCTTTATCTTCCCTTAAACCTTGAGACTAAAATTGCTTCATATCTCTCTTCCTTCCTATACTATATCCTTATATACAACCTATCTTTTATATACTACCACCACCACCACCACCACTAAATTAACTACTTCTATGAATCCGGTATTCATCTTGTTGTGGTAACGAAGTATTGCAACTTGGACCGATGCGTATATGTACCTCGTCCTACGTTGTAGCTGACTGACTGACTAATGTGGTGTTGCGATTAGGACTGATGGATGATGAATGGGTTAGGTTCTATAATTTATATGATTAACTAAATAACGGTACTATATGGGGACATAAACAAAATATCTAACTAATGTATACACATCTAGAAACTACATATTTTTGGGTTTTTTTTTAAAAAAAAGGAATTGTGTCGATTGAATGTAGACTATTCTAAGTAGAACACTTAAATATTAAAATGCCGGTGAATAATTTTTTATTGTCTTCAAGTACTGCTTTTGTTTTGTAAAATCACACAGTAATAGATACTAAGATGTAGCACAAATCATTTTGGATCAAAGTTGCAAACATGAGTCAATTGAAGCTAGACCACCATGGAAAACCTGGAAACACTGGACGGCCGTTTCGTCCTATTATGGGACTCCTCAGCAGTGCGCACCCACGATCCCGCATTCGCGAGATTCGAACCCAGGACCTACCAGTTACGAGCCAGAGACCTTAACCGATAAACCACTGAGCCGGCATCCAACGGAGTTAATGTCTAACTTCAACATTTTGGATCATTTTAATTTAACCGACAACAACAAAAATACCAGAATATAGTGAACTGAACAAGTGATCACTCACATTGACCGATCATATGTTCTTGCACTATATTATAAAAGTATTTCTTATTAGACTAAACTAAACATGTAGAAAACAAGTTATAAATAACACAAAAGAACAAAGTTGCCTAATACACACAAGAATAACTAAAAAATTGTTTTTTTTTAACGAATAAAATATAATACAATAATTATATAAAGTGTTCTTTATAATGAAGTTGTATAACATTGTAAAACGATAAGTATTTTGATATTTTATTGCATATTCAGTCAGTTACAACATAGAACTACGTACGGACGTACATCAGTTCGAGTTACCGTACCACATTAGCACAGAGATACAGTTTTCCATTCAAATCCCATAGTGGTAGAAGTAGTAAGAGTATAAGCATTTTGTGAAAGATTAGGGTTTGAAGATGTTACTCAAGGAGTATAATCCAGTGAAATAAATTTGGAAGGAGAGAAAAGATAGGGACATGAACAATTCAGAAGATTAGAACTTGGTAGAATACAAAGAGTGGATGCACCTTCTCCATTGCAAACGATTTTGAGCCATAACATTCAAGGTCTCTAACTATTGATTGCTATTATCTTGCGGATCCCAACCACGTAGTCTACACCTACCAACATGGCTCAGTCCAATTGTCAGTGAATTCATGGATTTGTACTACGTTTTGATCTGGCCGCCCCTAGCTTTCTTTCAACCTATTGCTACATCATAAAACATTGCACGTCGGAGGAGTCGTCGATTGGGTATAAGTAACACGTGTCCCAACCATCTCAACTGATGAAGTTTCACTACTTCATCAATCGATTTGCCATCCTTACCTAGTACCCGTTTCCTAACAGGTGTATTACTTACTCGGTGGTTCCAGGATATACGAGCAATGCTTCGAAGACACCTGTGATCGAAAACTAGTAGCTTACGAATATCCTCTACTCTTATCGGTCATGTTTCACTACCATAAAGTAGGACGAAACAAACTACTACGCAGTAAACCCGTCCATTGGTTACTAGACAGATATTATTGTTTATGATATAAAAATATTTTAATGAAAATACACTTAGATATCTTATTTATAAGATATCTGAAGATTATTTAATCAACGCAAAATGTATAACCTAATTAATATTATTCTTATGGATGATGATACAGTGAAAGACATTAACGTGATAATTTATTTCTTAAAGTGAAATATCTCAAGTTATCAGAGAAGGCGAAGAAGTAGAAAGTGAGGGTAAGATGGATGCTCGATTATCTGTTAACTGATAAGTCACACTACCCAGGTCGAAATAACAGCTGTAATTAACTGTTTAACAAATGTATGTTCTACAGGTTCTGAAATCTTTTTCATAAGTACTCGGGGAATGGTTGTGTGAGTAGATTGTCAGTTTAATCATCTCAACTAGTCCAGTAAATTAGGCTTCCGGTCAATCACATTATCATAATACATAACACATAGACTGACCTTGGAGATCCATCTATCTCTTGATAAACTTAACACAAAAAATGATTTATTCAAATCATATACACTTCAAATAATTATGAATTTCAGTAAAATAATACATACAAAAATCAACTAACTTTTTATAATCTGTATACAGTGCCAAATGTGTATCCGGTGCTAATTGTGATTCGTTTGAATCATCACTGATTACAGTTGATTGATCTAGTTCACATTTTGGATCGGATACAATTTTCAATACTTTAGCTTTAAGTAAAATTTGTAGAATTTGTAATAATGTAGCTTCTTCAATACCAGTTTGTAGTTGAATAGCTGATACTGTGTACACTAATGATGAATTATATAACATTAAAACAGACATCTGGTACGTTGAAACCTTTTGTTTAAAAAAAATGGTAGTAAAACCAAATACAACTAACTCAAAAGAACTGTTTCGCAACAATTTTAAATAAATGAAAAATACATAACATTTCTATATTCTGGAAACTTAAAAGCTGAGAAGTCAGGTCAAAACAAGAGTAGTTACATGCCAAGATGTAACAACAGTCCATGAAGCTAAGTCAGGATGTGTAAACTTTGTAGTTAGGATCTCTGATATAATTGGAACTTAATAGTTGGAAGCATTGAGTGACATATGATATAGAGAGCCAATCAGAAGTGACCTATAGTACAAGTGCATTTCATTGGCTAAGAAATGGACTAATTTCATAAGGATTAGAGTGGTATATATATGATTTAGTATTTGTACATTTTTTTCAGTAGTCCAGTACACTTTCTCGCTCAAATAGCCAGTTGGGGGTTAGTGCGTAGCATACTGTGTACCGGCATTAGATTTTGAACACAGCCCGTCACAATCATATGACCTTAAGTCGATTAGATTGTCACATGTGGATTTTGCCTTTTGAGTATGATCATCGTGTTATATGTTATATCCTAGTGAAAATTAAATTACGGGTACCTTCTGAGAACTATTAATGGACTTTATTTATTTAATTTTATTTAATTAAACACATAAATATTGGTACAAAAAAGCACCAGATACATATGCGCCACACAAACCTCATTTGATTTGTGTGAGGGCTACAACATGATTGGTTCATACGCCTTTTGTCCCTTCAGGATACTGGAGCCCATGTGGACCATTCGTTTGGAATGATGGTTTCCCAACTCCCCTAGGTGGATTTTCCGTGTCCACCAACCCGGTTAAAGCTCCGGATATTCGCATTTCGTCCTCTCAATTTCGTAAACAACAGTCGTGGCACGAGAAGGCAGTGACTAGGACTTTTGTGACAAAGGCTATAATATGCGTGGCCATGTGAGAGCATTTCGAGAAGGAGAGCTGACTTTTCCCACTCTCGGTCGTACCAGGGCATTTGGGGGCATTAAATGGACTAATATTATATATTTTTTCATGTTGTACAAATATTCAGTAATAAAGTTATGTATACCTATATTCCTCTTATTATAAGCTTTATTTACTGTTCTTAAATTATACTCAGTTTATTGATTACAGTCTCCCACGTTCACAGCCACTTTTTGACTTAATCTTGTGTAAATGATACTTCTTATTTTATGGTATGATGCGGTCTAATTGGTTGGTATATAAACGAATAAGTTTGAAATAAATGATTCGCATAGTGGAAGCTGTAATTGGCGTTCTAGACTCAACTGGAAACACTAGACGAACAAAGGAACAGTAAGTACGTTAGGCTGCTCATACAAGTTGAACGTCATTAGTTCAGCACAGTGCAAAAATTGAATAAGTCGTATTTCGATTGGCAAATAAGTCATGTGATAACTAGTTAGTTTTAAAGTCACAACATTATACATATAAAAAATTTCCAATATCATTCCATTTCTCAGAACCATACACCATAAAAGATTAACTCTTAACATTATTGATTTCGGAAAATTATTTACAACTAAAGTCATACATATTACGTAATGAGTAACCATTAAACATTGCTTTGAATCAATTTCACAACTGATTTATCAACAAATTATTATCTTAAAAAAAAAAAAATACATATAAACATACTTGAAATATATATCTAGTTTTAGTATAGTTAGTAACAACTTCACCACGTGATAAATGATAACACCATGTTAATTTACGACCAGTATGATGTTCTTGATAGAAAGCAAGAAATGTATTGTGACATTGTTCCAACTAGAATGTGGTTTTATAATTAAAGAAAAAAAAAACTCAATCGAAGAGAGAAAAAAAAGACGTAGTGGATATTATGCTGAAAAAAAATTCATGAACTGTAGAAAACAAGGTATACAGGGTTTGATGCTTTTTAAACTGTAAAACAAAACAAAACTTATAAATGAGAAGTTTTTATTTTATTTTTCATGGAATTGAAGGGGGAGATATACTAATGTTGAAATTTAAAATTTTAAAATGACATGAAATTAAATTGAGAGAGTTGAAACTGTAACTTTTACCACTCCATTATTTTCATAGTTGAAAGCGTGAGTCAATTGAAGCTAGATCACCAAGGAAAACCAGGAAGCACTGGAAGGCCGTTTCGTCTTACTGAGGGACTCCTCAATAGTGCGCATCCAAGACCTCGCCTCACGAGATTTGAACACAGGACCTAACAGTCTCGCGTCAGAGCATTTAATCAATAGATCACTGAGCTGGCAACCATGGTGTTAATGTCTAACTTCAACCGATTCACGAAGTTGAGCAACCGTTCATCAATTGTCGTCAGTGAGTTCCTATCTCAGAACAGACGTGGTTTGAACTACACTGGTCACTGCTTCTTACTAGAACGCCAGGATTCGCCTCTCGAAATCAGTCACTAGTGAGCATATGATTATAATCCATTATTTGAAAATAAACAATTTTATCACACTATAATGGTTTATTTGAAATGTGCACATGCTTCTTCAGTGAATGATTGTAAATCAAGATCCGATATACTTGGTTCAAATAGTTTTCAATGGCAACTCAATTAACAAATACATGTTTATTTACTCGACCATAGCGTACATTGTTTATATGACGACTAGAGAAAATAACCAAATGCTTTGGCTAAACCTGAGTTTAAACTTGGGACCTATTGTTTAAAAGATAATACTACTACCACTAAACAATTAATTCGTTACTTGTTAATTTTCGAAATCTAACATTCTACTGTTTAGCATCTGACGTCAAACTGTTTATAGCAACAGGTTGATCACACTTCATCGATTAGAAGTTTAGACCGAGGAGGGACTACTGGACAATATGAGTATGAGTAACTGAAATATGATTGATTTCAAACATTTTCTGATAGAACATATTAGGAAAGTGTGTTCGAATGCTTTGACATTTTCTCGATAGTCCTCAGTAGCTAAAAAAATTTCCCATTAATCAGTGTTCAACAGAAACTCTTAAGAAAATTCTACAGAACATCGAATGATATTTTTATTTCCTGGTTGTAATATTATTGATATTGTTATCCATATCACGTATTTCTATAGAGGCTTCTAGAATCCTTAAATTATGTATAATAACATTCATATTTTTATTCTTTATCAACAAACTATTCTTCGAAGAAAGGTTTCTTTTGTATCATCCACATTTACTTTCTGTTCAGTCAGTCAGCTACAACGTAGAATCAGGTACACATATGCATCGGTCCAAGTTGCCATACCTAATGAGAACAACAATATCAACACCGGATTCATAGAAGTAGTTAATTTAATGATAGTAGTATATAAAAGATAGGTTGTATATAAGGATATAGTATAGGAAGGAAGGAAGTTATGAAGCAATTTTAATTTCAAAGTTTAAGGGAAGATAAAGAGTGTATACGCCTACGCCATTGTGATCGATTATGAGCCATGTCACACAGAGTCTTTCTGTTAGGGATCCAAGATTAGATTTTTGGAGACTAAGAAGAAGGACTTGAGAAGTTGGTACGAAAATGAAATACTGAAACCTCAAAACATACGAATATTGCAACTGACATTTTTAAAATGAGAAAAGATTTAACTAAGAGTTTTGTGAGGATAGTCCACAGGTGAAGTCAAGGAGGCTCTAAGAAGCTCAGAAGGAGCCGGACATATTCCATCCAATCAGCTTTGGGAAGACTATTCTAGAATCACTACATGTAGCTTCCCTATTGGACAATGCTGATAACTCCCTGTGTGCCGATTGGATAGCTATAATGATAATTTTGTTTCAACTAAATCTATAAATACCTGACAATTTTGTACCGTAATCGACACTGCTTGGAATAACATTCCTGCTACTTGTCTTCTGATTTGTGACATGGGAGGGTTCTGGCGTTCGAGTGCTCAAGTATTACGCGACAGACTAAGAATCTAAGTTCGAGATATAACAAGTTTCTTATGTACTTTGACGAATTCAATACATTGATAGATTTGTTTTAAAAAAAGGGAAGAATCACAGTATTTTTATAGTACTTTATAACTTACTTCAGGAGGAATTGAAAAAGGTCCTTGAGCTTGAAATGGCCATGCATTTGAACTAAGAATCATGATATTAAAATCAGCTAAACAAATGGAAATTTAAAAAAATATTGATCAATATTCAAACATTACTAAACATCTTTCAAGATTGATCATGATATAATAAGAATTATATTATATAATTAGGTCTTATTAAGATTAACAATAAGAGATTAACAGATCCTATAGATATAGTTGAAATTATGAGTCAATTGAAGCTTAACTACCATGGAAAACGTGGAATCACTGGACGGCCGTTTCGTCCTATTGTGGGACTACTCTTTCTCCTATATATGTTTTAATTACTTTATTTTTAAGTGACATTTATTGAATTATGTTTATTTTAATGTGTGAACATTTTATTATACTAAATGGAAATGTATTCGGTTAGCTAATTAAATTTTGCTTTCATATCAGCTTGTGTTGGGTGTGATCAAGTTATTAACCGAATTGTCTCGTGAACAGCCACAATATAATAATGTCGTAAATCTTTCATTTATTAGAGTTCTAATTCATTATGGCCACTAAATGCAATGGTACAGCCGTGAGTGGGGAGAGTCTGCTCTCCCTATCGAAATACTCTCATATGGCCACACGCATATAGCCTCTGTCACGGAAGTCTTACTCACTACCTTCTCGCGTCACGACTTTTGTTTAAAAAATTGAGAGGACCAAAAGCAAATGTCCGGTGCTTTAACCGGGTTGGTGGACACGGCGAGTCCATCTAGGGAAGTTGGAAAACCCTGATTCCAAACGAATAATGAACATGGGTTCCGGTATCCTAAGGGAACAAATGGCGTATAAATCAATCGTTTGTCATAGGCTACCATGGGCCTGCATCTCCTCACGATGCTCCACTGCCTTATGGATCAGGTCTTTAAGTTAAAGGCTGCGGGTGTGGCCCCCTAAGAAAACCACCTGCTTCAGTTTGGGCACCTGGGTAGTATCACAGCCCTGACACAAATCAAATGAGATTTGTGTGGCGCATATGTATCTGGTGCACTTTTGTACCGATATTTATATGTTTAAATAAATAAATAAACAAATAAATAATTGAAAGCGTGAGTCAATTGAAGCTAGACCACCATGGAAAACCTGGAAACACTGGATGGCCGTTTCGTCCTATTATGGGACTCCTCAGTGGTCTATCGGTTAAGGGCTTCGGCTCGAGACTGGTAGTTCCTGGGTTCGAATCTCGCGAGAGCGGGTTCGTGGATGCGCACTGCTGAGGAGCCCCATAATAGGACGAAACGGTCGTCCAGTGTTTCGAGGTTTTCCATGGTGGTCTAGCTTCAATTGACTCACGATTTCAACTATGAAAAATACTAAATCTTCACAAAACCCCTTCTGATAATTAAATAAAAAATTCATTATGAACCATTGTCATTAACATCGTTGTAAAATTCTTCAAACACTTTTCTATAAAAACTGAATATGAAAAATAAACCCAGATCAATGTAATGAAATCGATTTGTATGAAGATATGTAGAAAAACAAAAAAGGGTATGACTAAAACATGATAATAAGTTCAAAGTTAAACACAGAAAAGAACCATACATAAGATTTATAGTCAATGATGCAGTTCATGTCTAATAGTGTATAAAAAATAAATTATCTATGCAAATGTTATAGGAAAGTACTTGAAGGGATTCATAACGAAACATATGGGCATGTTACTACATAACTGATGTTTATTTAAATGATAAAGTATCATAAAGAACAAATTTATGCGCTTGCATTGAATCACAACTTTTCATATGAACTTGTTGAAAGAGTATACGAATCTATGATTAATTGGTTGATAATCAATTTATCATGGTTAATTATAATATATTTCATTGATTAAGTTGATTTTTAATATGATTAAATTTTAAATAGAAACATCAATCCATGTCGGTTGTGAGACAGTTATCCACCTCAGACAATGAATAAAGGGTTGTGAAAGATCATGGAGCGATTGAATTTAAACATTAACACCGTCGAATGCCAGCTCAGTGGTCTAGAGTTTAGGCATTTGCGCTCGAGACTGAAGGTCCTGAGTTCGAGCTCCAAGTGTGGGATCATGAATACGCACCGCTGAAGAGGTTCATGCTTGAACGAAACGGTCTTTGAGTGGTTCCAAGTTTTAAAAGGTGGTCTAACTTAAATCGACTCATGAATTCAACTGTGAAAATAAATTAATGAACATCAGAATAGTTGTAAAGACTGACTGAATAACTTTTACTTTCAAACACAGTAATGGTTGGAATTCTATTCTGTTGATAAGTGAATGTTACAACTGGGTAAATTAAATTCCCAAGATGTGATCAATAAGACATTGTATTAAAAACTTATTCCATGTTCACAATGCATCACAATATGCATTAGTTACAGTTATTTTTACATAGGATATCAACTAAATACACATGGTTAACACATACAGTCAAACAAAAAAATGCACTAAATTTAAATAACAAATAAAGAAATAAACAAACAAACAAAGTAAAATTCTCTAAGGTAAAGTTATTGTGTTATGCAAGAAAATCACATGTCCTTTTTTGCAAATGACATCAGACATCACTTGCCCATGTGATTACACGGAATGTTACTAGGATGCTTCTTTTATAGTATATATATAGTGTATATATAGTATAGTATATATACAGCTGTCTACGGAAAATACTTCGGATCCGATGGCCAGACACTATCAGCAACAAGTTACTGTGGGAGAGAACAAACCAGATTCCAGCAGAGGAAGAAATCAAGAAGAAGCGCTGGAAGTGGATTGGGCACACCTTGAGGAAATCAGCTAATTGCGTCACAAGACAAGCCCTCACATGGAATCCTGAAGGTCAAAGGAGAAGAGGAAGACCAAAGAACACATTACGCCGAGAAATAGAGACAGACATGAGAAGAATGAACAAGAACTGGATAGAACTAGAGAAGGAAGGCTGAGGACAGAGTGGGTTGGAGAAAGCTGGTCGGCGGCCTATGCTCCATTGGGAGTAACAGGCGTAAGTAAGTAAGTAAGTAAGTAATATAGTATATAATGAGATATGTATGACTTGCAGAGTGTGTGAGGTAGCGAAATCAACTGCAGTTTTGTGATTCCGTTTTAAACCACTTTATGTGATTCCAGTCAGCTGAACAATCCAAAATATTTAGAGTGGGTTACAAACAAGAAACGTTGGGATTAAAAGTCGAATGATAAATTATGAAGTTACCAACCTGTGTACACCTAATAAGCGATATTAACATATTCAGTCATGTATATCGAAGACGTGTCGATCATGATGCGGAATGGTGACTAACAAGTGTAAGTTGGAATAAAGGTAATTATGATCAGATCAAGATATCAAATTATTCAATGAAATCACTGAATTCTCGTCTGAGTCATGTCGGCAAGCACAGACTGTTTCAGTCATACACTGACTTGTGTTCATATATATATATATATATATGTGCACGACACGTTCGACTACTTCACTTCCTATCTTTAGTTCACGCTGACACAGGCCAGTCCTAGAGTAACAACTTACACTTAGATGGGGACAAACGCATCCCAAATATCCTGGCATTGTTACTCAGTGCTAGCAGAAGACTCTGCATTTTATCAGCGTCTTCACCAAACAGGACTATGTCATCTGCGTATTCTAAGTCGATAAGTGGACCTCCTGGTAGGAGGTCCGATAATCTTCTATAAAGCCTCTCCAACGATGACTGATGGCAATATGGTCTATCTGAGTACATCGTTGGTTTCATGCAGGTAGTCGCCATGTTAGACGATGTCTCTCCTTATGCTTAAAATTAGTGTTTGCAAAAAATAAACGATTGCCTGAGTATAGTTACAACAGACGATCACCATTATCGGTTCGTTGAGCCGGAATACTAAAATACCCACCTAAATGTCTTTCTGTTTGGTTTAAGCTACCTAATTGGGCATTAAAGTCACGCACTACGAGTACTATGTCTGAGCGCTTAGTTTTTTGTAGAAGTTCAGAGAGCTTTCTGTAAAAGTCATCTTTCACTTCATCATGGCTGCAGTCAGTCGGAGCGCATGCAGAAACGACGATAAGGCAACGACGTGTGTCCCTATCCTTCCGAGTTCTTGCGGAGTCATTTAGCCGGACAGCACATAGGTCACTGTTAACTGGGATCCATTCTAATAGTGCTTGTTCTGCCCTAGTACTAAGGGCTATGCGTACACGATTTGACCAGCTGAAAGCTGGGATATTCAAGTCACTACGATCGAAAATTTAACAGCTTAATTTCTGTTCTTTGGTACGCCTTTCAGTGAAATAATTTATTGTGAGACCCTCAGATCAGGTGAAGTCAAACATCATCTTCCAGTCACAGAAACCATTAATTATGTCTATGTTTCAAACATGATGCAGAATAAATAACCGACTGAAATATTTCTCAATCCAAACAGTTAGTCAACCATTCTAACCCTCCCCCTTATTTACTACTGGTATGTTGACATTATTATCACATCTAACGTCCAGGGATTTATTTATTATAGAAACAACATCATGTTGTAATACCAGTTTATCGTGAATTAGTAAAGTTATCCATTGGTATCTCTTTCTCCCTCTCCCTCTCATACACACACACACACACTTAGACATTCTCAATTAGCCACGTTTTAACTAAGAAATCAGTTGGATAATATCATATGTTTACACAGTTTATGTCTAACTGTCAGTATGTGTGATGTTATTAACATAGAAACAAATTATATCATAATATAATTTTAATTCAAACTGGGTTTTTTTTTCTTATTTCCCATGTTCACTAAACATACGAAAGAAAAAGTTTCCCATTTATGAGGTGGAATAATTTTTTTTTCTAAAAAAAAAACACTATTCTATACTTAATACATAACAACCTTATTGATTAAAGATAAACTAGGAGAAAAATCAATATGGTTAACCTTTATATTTTTTGAAAAAAAAAAAGAAAAGGATGGTTGGAATGGATAGATGGAAAGTGAACAAAAGGAAAGTAATATCTTGTATTAAATAATAGCAAAGTATATTTCTATCAAATAATATAAAAACAAATGAATGAATATCCCATTTGTTACTGATGTGAACAGCAAAAAAAAGAAGTCTTAACAAACTATGAAAGCTATTTTTCGGGGGGACATTATTTCATTTAAATTAAAAGCTTGTAAAACTATAACATTTACTGTTGGCCCTAGTCTATTTTACAGATCATAAACTTTTGTTTGATGTATGATTCACTATCATAGCATTTTCTGTTCAAAAGCTATTGTCATTTAGATGTAATCTTTTGTACTCTATTTTCTAATTTAATCACCCAGTTTTGGACATAATTGTATTTTCCTAATTATTGTACGTTGTGGTCAGGTTATTCATCTATTTATTCATGTATTTTTTTCACACTAATTTGGAATTCGGGTACCACATCGGGATTGGAGTAAAGCGAGTAGTGTTCCAGTTGTCCGGTCTCTTTTCTCTTTCTCTCGTGCTTGTCAGCCAATCAGGAATAGAATAGTATCCGTCTTTCTACCCCCGCTTCGAACTCGCGCATACTAGCCTCAAGATTAAGCTAGTCAGCCTATCGCGTCAAGGTCTTAATCTACATAAGACAAGTTATCCTCGGCAGGAAAGTGGGTAGACAAATCAGGGACGTAACAGTTGCAAATAGAAATTACAAATTACTGAGATTCATCTCCTATAATATTTGAATTTATGCTTAGCATTGAAAAGAGAATAATCGTAGTATCAACCAGCATGAATAATGAAAGTGACTAAAATTGAGATAATCAGTAGGTTATTTTAGGTAGGAAATCGGGAAAGATAAAAGAAAACGCCAGATCTGTTGTCTTTACACTCATAGCTATGGACTATTTTATGGAATGAAAGCTTCTTTGTTAATTGGATGAGTCGAAGTATGCTAACTTTTGATAACTTACTCTTAAATATATGGGAGTTTAAATAAATGCTCCGACAGCTTCATAAACATCTAGGCGAAGAAAACTGTTAAACAAAAAAAACTGTGGAGACACTTCTCACTGGTTCACAAACGATAGTTACAAATCTACATATATAAACTGGTTAACTAGAAACTTTGAAATGAGACATTATGTGAAATAAAGACAAAACCGAAATAAATTTATTACAGAAAGCCGAACCATAGAAGAAAAACCATTTTTTTGAATAGTTAAAGCTCTAAAGGTTTAATACATATATAGGACTTACTTCCTTTAATAGTACTACCATTGGCTTCTTCTTGTTTTTGTAAATAATCTGAAAATTTCGCATTCAATTCTCTAGTAGCATTGACATCCTGAAACATTCGTTGTAATTTTGCAGTATATTCAAAACCGCAAGCTTCTTTTAATTTGGAAATCATAGAAGCTTCTGCATCCTCGGATACAGATTGATTGTAAACTAAACGGCGAGCCAATGTTTTACTATAGAATTTTTGAAAGACATCTTTATCTTCAATGTAGCGGAATACATTCATCTAAAATAATTAACGAGAATAAATAAGCGAAACTACATAGTGACGGAAATTGGAGAAGGGATTGTTAATAGGAGATATCATGGGTATTTTCAATGTAGATTAACATAAATTTATAGTTGAAGAATATTTTATTGAAAGATACATGGTAAAAGACATTAAGTGCATGCTTTGAAATTCCAAACTTCAGATAAAATACTTCAAAGAGATTTTATGGTCATTTCATTTGTGAATAATTTGTACTAATCATCTTTTGAATACATTAGAGATAATTTAATAAATAGAAGATGAAAGATTTAGGCAGTCTATCTGCAAACAGTTAGACTACATAAAAAAATAATTTACAAAATATTGAAATACTTACTACTTGTCCAAGTGTTTCTTCCAAATCATCCAACTGAATATCTTTTGCACTGAAAAAAAGAAGAAAGAGGCACAAAACAGTTAGAACTTAACCCATATACATATATATATATATATATATATATATATATATATATATGAACTCTTATGAAAGCACTCAGTAATAAATTGACAAGAAAGTGTGAAATAGGATGACCAGATTATATTCAGGTACTATGACTACTTTTAATCCTCCATTTGGGAAAATGTAAAAAATACTTGCAATCATAACTTGGTTAGAAATCGATCAACTCCATTATACTCCCAAAAAACGGGGAAGTTACACCCAACTGAACGGAAGATAATTGTTATTTTATGACTGATACTTTATAACTAATAATAAAATTGAAATTCAGCCAATTCGTTGAATCTACAGAGTGGTTACGGCGATCGATTTCCAGCGACTGATTCTTATGTTCAAAATTCATTCGCCTACTTCTGTTTGAGTGACCGGGTTTATCATTTCAGAAGTCCATCAACATTATGATGGTGATGATAAAGATCACATATTGACTGGATGTTATTATTCATAGATTAGTTAGAGCTTAGATTGGCAGAAATAATTCATTATGAATTTGAAAGAGTCCATAAAATTAACCAATGGTATAATTATATATTTAAAACTAATTAATTAATTAACACAAATTCAACTTATACAGTGATGATTACGATTGACGTAAGTTATATACACTTTCTATTAAAAATAACATGAGGATATAGGTAGCTTGTGAATTCATAATATATGTATATTTATGTATTGGTGCAAGGCATCAAATATATATATGCAACACACTTCATCATTCGATATGTGTGACGGGTGGAATACTGCCCAGGTGCCTAAACTGAAGCAGATGGTCTTCTCAAGTGGCCACTCCCCAAGCCGTCGACCTAGAGATCTAAACCACAAGGCAGTGAAACAACGTTAGAAGATACAGAAAAGGATAAATTCGGACGAGATGCTGCTGTACTCTGCTCATGAAGAAGAAATTTTCCGCACACTCAGAGAGTTGCTATGATGTTGTCCAAAGAGGCTCATAACAAATCTTGTAATTATAAATATCAATATTGCAATATTCCAAAAATGACCATCAACACAATGCAATGAAGTCTTAAAACTTGAAGAGATATAATTTAAGACATTAAATTATAATAATTATAGAAGGGGTTTTGTGGAGATTTAGTATTTATCATTGTTGAAAGCGTGAGTCAATTGAAGCTAGACCACCATGGAAAACCTGGAAACACTGGACGGCCGTTTCGTCCTATTATGGGACTCCTCAGCAGTGCGCATCCACGAACCTGCTCTCGCGAGCGAGATTCGAACCCAGGACCTACCAGTCTCGAGCCGAAGCCCTTAACCGATAGACCACTGAGCTGGCATCCAACGGTGTTAATGTCTAACTTCAACTGATCCACGAAGTTGAGCAACCATTCACCAATTGTCTTCTGCGCACTGCTGAGGAGTCCCATAATAGGACGAAACGGCCGTCCAGTGTTTCCAGGTTTTCCATGGTGGTCTAGCTTCAATTGACTCACGCTTTCAACAATTAAATTATAAATTCAAGATAATAAAACTAACCTTTTCTTTAATAAGAAATCTGCATATTTAGCTAAAAGTTCAGGGGATTTTCTTTGATTTCCAGCTAATTCAGTGACAGCATTACGATTTATAAAACGTTCGCATCCTTTGTCTAAGGCACGTGAAAATGCAGGATCCCAAGCAAAAGCGGATAATACAAGATTATAATGTTTTTGATGAACTTTTAATATTGTATCAATATACAATTTGGGATCCTGAAAAAATCAAATAAACAGAAGTAAACTTGAGAAGAAAGTATAGCTGTGTAAAGCCTATCAAATGTATCAATTATGATGGTTATGAAACTTTCTTATGTAAAACACTTTTCACACTAGTGATCAATAATAATAAACGAGGGAACTAAAGCTTTTTCATATAGCCTTAAAATACAATTTTTTATCGATGTACAAAGCCATTTACATCAACAACAAAAAAGCTGGAGGGAAATCTTTCCACTGACTGTCAATGTGTGATAAAAAAAGATATGCAAAACAAAGTGAATAAACATCAACTCACATTTAAAGCAGCTTCAGCCACTTGACGGATAGCTTCCCAACCTTTATCAGCAACATGATCTTCCATGACAGAGACAAGAACACGTATTCCACTAGGAAAATGACCAACTAAGCGATACATTCTCCATATATCTATATATTACAATGAAATTTCATATGGTCGTAAATTAAAAGTGGGTTCAGTGATGAAATATTAAAAAGCACACAAGTAACTGATAAGAAAAAATTATGTGAAGATGAAACTTTTCCAGATCATGAATGAGGTGATCTTTGAAACCGTAATCAACTATCAGAATCACATAGATCACATAGAATCATAAGAGAATAAGTAGCTTTTTTAAATGTTCCAATATTCTCAGTTAATGAGTTGCAATAAGCTAGTCGATTATATATACGGGACATTCTGTTGATCGTTTTTAACCATACAACATCAATCAAAGTGCATCTGTCACCCGAGTAACGTATTACTTGACTTAGCTGATGTATTTCCGAACTGACAGATAAAAATAATAATGACACCTAATTAAATGCTAAATAATACGTTTTTTTCTTCTATTTAAACAATTATTTGTTGGTCTAAAAATTTGAACTACTATAAAAATTTTAGAGCATTTAAATAATGAGATGAGCAGCATTGCAAAACCATGATGAGCCTAATTATTATTATCAGTTTAAAACCTGTCATTTGAGATGGGTTTTTTTCCAATCTCTAGGAAACTGTAGCGCACAAGTGTAGAGTTTTTAAATTCACCTTAGTTGTCAAATAATTGTACGCTATAAACTCATCTAGGGGAGTTTAAAATATCCATATCTTTTTAGTAGTCTAAGGCCGGGAGTGGGGAGGACCCGCAATCTCTCTCGAAATGCTCTCATATGGCCAAGCGTATATAGCCTCTACCAGGGAAGTTCTACTCACCGCCTTCTCGTGACATTACTGTTGTTTACGAAATTGAGAGGACCAAAAGCGAATGTCCAGCGCTTTAACCGGGTTGGTGGACACGGAAAGTTCACCTAGGGAAGTTGGAAAACCCTGATTACAAACCAGTGGTGCACATAGGCTCCAGTATACTGAGGGAACAAATGGCGTATGAATCAATCATTGATCACCGGTTACTATGGGATTGCATCTCCTCACGATGCTCCATTGCCTTGTGGATCAGACTTTTAGGTCAAAGGCTCCAAGTGTGGCCCCCTAAGAAAACCACCTACTCCAGTTTGGGCACCTGGGTAGTATCACATCCCTCACACAAATCAAATGAGATTTGTGCGGCACATATAGATCTGGGGCCCCTTTGTACCAATATTTACGTGTTCAGATAAGAAAAATAAAAAAAGAAATTGAATTACTTTCGAACATTGTGTTTTATATACAGTTATGGATACATGCACAAACATATGCACATAAATGTAAGTAAAATGTTAACGTTTTTTTGTGATATTGAGTTCAACAATGCACTAATCAGTAAAACAAATTTTTTTTCTAAACTCACCTTCCTCTCTATCTTCATTGAAAAGATCCGAGAAGACAGATGTTAACCGATCAATATGTTCACCAATTAAATAATGTTCACAAGATCTAATTAATTTGGGAAGTGTACTTATATGTAGATAAGTTTGAACACGAATACGTTCTTCATTTAATCGTGTTTCCACCTATAAATGAATGTAATTTAAAAAACTAGAATATAAATAAATTCATTTAGTATTGTTTGTTTGAATCTTCCCATCGATGTTTTAGGATTGCAATTGGTCAGTCTCTAATTGGCATGTGTGCATACTGTACGTATTGCCTCGATATAGCCTTAATTCACAAGCATGGTAAGCAAAGATGGACTCAGTGGCCGAGTAGATAACGCGATGGCGTTTAAAGCGAAAAGTACTGGGTTCGAGTCCCAGAGTGAACATCAACTCTGAGATGCAGGCACATCCAGCTGACGAGTCCCAAATAGGACGAAACGCGCGTCTTGGATTCCACTGCTAGCCACTATCTATCTTTGCTTAAAATATAAATAGGCAGAAAATTTAGCACACTTTAAACATAAATACAAAACACTAATATATTCAACAATTATCAAATGGCAGAGGTGACGATAAGAAGAAATTCATCATAAATGGCTTTCGTTGAACAACTAAGATGACGTTCGGTTTCTTGACTTATGAGACTAAATACAGCTATAAAACGAGCTGTATGAAGTTTATATCTTGACAAGTTAGTTGGTCAGTGGAATCATTAAAACTAAGAATTGCAGTAATCCCTCCTTAAAGTCATACTGTTAAATTAACCTGGTTATCTCGAGGGCAAGGTATTTCTCTAAGACAATTAATAATTTAATGTGGGCAGTATGAAACTGACACTTAACCGCATATTTTCAACAGCATACAAATCCTTTTAGATTAACAAAAACTTACCTCATTCTTATCCTTTCGTCTTTTTTAAAGTTCTCCTGACCTATTCCACATCTTGTTGTTGTTGCAAATCCGTACAAAACATCTTCCAGAAATATGTCTTAAAATACAGTCCCAGTGCACTGTTTAACAAAAGGGACTTCATATGTTTAGTTGCCCACTAATATTAGTGTTACTTTTTTACTGTTTTGCTTTTCCACTAGCTGTGTCTAAATGAACATTTGTAAACAACTAAGTAACGAGACTAATAGATGTGCCAATATCAATTTATAATTCAAATAATCATTGGTTTAAACCCGAACATACTGTGAATGATAAGTCTTACCACAAGCAAGGTCAAGCAACAATCACTACAGTATCTAATGATTTTAACGCAAATTCAGGTATACTGAATCAACTACAATTATCTTGAAAAATAATTTGGACTTATAATCCACTCAGTCAGTCAGTCAGCTACAACATAGGGCCAGGCACATTTATGCATCGGCACAATTTGCCATACCTCGTTAGCACAACAAGATGAACACCGGATTCATAGAAAGAGTTAATTTAGTGGTGGTGGTAGTAGTACATAAAAGATAGGTTGTATATAAGAATATAGCATAGGAAGGAAGAAAGTTATGAAGCAATTTTAACCTTAAGGTTTAAGAGAACATAAAGAGTGTATACACCTATGCCATTGTGATAAATTCTGAGCCATGTCACACAGTCTCCAACCATTAGTTACGATTGTCACGCGGACCACAACCAAGTAGTCTGCATATGCCAACATGGCTCAGAATAGAAGTTAGTGACTTTAAGCACTGATGCCCTGTTTTGGTTTGGCCGCCCCTAACTCTCTTCCAACACCACATTAGTACGGCAAGATGAATACAAAAGGATTAATAGTTTCGGTGATGATGGAGTTTATATATATATATATATATATATATATATATATATATCAGTCGATGAAGATTCATGACTTCATCAACTGGTTTACCATCATTCCCTAATACCCTGTGTCTAACATCATTATTACTTACTCAGTGATCCCAGCAGATGCGAGCAATATTTCTAAGGCAACTGTGATCAAATACTCGTAACTGGTAACTTCTAATCCACTAAATCAATAGCAATGGTTATCTCCTATAGATTTGTTTGTAAAAAGACTTATTTTTGAATAACAAGAGATTCAGGTACTATAAAAGCACCTACTACTATTTTTACGAAGGTTGAGAAATAAATCGCCTGGCTATAAAATATTACAGGATTGAAAGGTTGGACATTAGTCGATTGTCTTGTAGTATTTACTTAGATCAAACCTTACGCAAGTCGATGTGAGGGTCTGCACCTAACTTAACTTGCTGAAATACCTACTTTAAAAATAAGTTGACCACTTCACTTACTCACATGAAGTTATATGACCATTAAAATCAGGAAATATGGGGAAGATTAGTCTACCAGTGAAATCATACGTTTTTATTCAGAATGCAAATTCACTGACTAGAATATATATATATATATATATATATATATATATATATATATATATATATATATGATTTATCATAATAACATATGTAAATACATATATGACTTGCTTTTTGAAGGTATTCAGGAACTGTGTTTGACTGTAAAAATTGAGCACTTTCCAATCGGTAATATCGTTCAGTTTCAGTTAAAAATGGTCGTTCAAAGTATTCCTGATAAACTGATAGATTGGTTCGTGTGTCGGATGTCAATGATGATGTCGCACTAGGAGTATTGGAAGTAGATTCATCCGCTGGATCTCCGGGATGAAGTGGACCTCGAAAATTCGGGACGGTTTTATTTGATGTACCTTGAAAGCTGGATTCCTAATAGAAAAACGCACAATATTTAAAAATATGTCGAAGTGGAAAGATAGGGATTATAAGACATAATTTGGATAACTGAACACTTCCAACAAAAAGAATTATGATGAATCACTATGCTGATAATGAACGAATTGTAAGTCAAATTAATATGGTTGAACTTATAAACATTGTACCATAGTTAATAAACATAAAATCTAGATTTATGTTCTTAGAATCCACAATCATCCGTGTAGATAAATCAAGTAAGTAGTATTAACCTGATCAATACACCTCGAACAGAACACTAAAGACAAGTGCTATGCTTGAAGAGACTACGAGTTCACCTAATCTGAGAACGGAACGAAGACTGTGACACGATGACCAATAAGCTAGCTATTCTGATGCGTCCCAGCCCCGCTAACTAAAGAGAGAAGTTCAAGTTCAGAAGTGGGAAATATGTTCCACAAGCAGACAGAAGCACGAACAACAACAACGACCCTAGTAGGAAATATATATATTGATTCATACACCCATTTTGATTAATAATTGGAATAAAATCACATATATGAAAAATACTTACAGTTACAACAAACTATATGCTGATTATAATTCATGTTAACTTAAAACAAGAACATCTAACGTTATACTGAGTCAGTTAGTCAGTCAAAACTTGGAACTTAGTACGTACGTACATCAGTTCGAGTTGCCGTACCACATTAACACAGAGATCCAGTTGTCGATTCGAATCTCATAGTGGTAGAGGTAGTAAGAGTATAAGCATTATGTGAAAGATCAGGATTTGAAAATGTTGTTGGAAAGAGAAAAAGGATACGGACATGAAGAATTCAGAAGATTAGAATTTGGTAGAACACAAAGAGTGTATGCACCTTCGCCATTGCAAACGATTTTGAGCCATGTCATTCAAGCTCTCTAACCATCGATTACTATCATCTCGCGGATCCCAACCACGTAGTCTACACCTACCAACATGTCTCAGTCCACTTGTCAGTGACTTTATGGATTTATGCCACGTTTTGGTTTAGCCGCCCCTAGCTTTCTTCCAACCTACTCCTACACCATGAAACATTGCACGTCGGAGCAGTCGGTGGTTGGGCATACATAACACGTGTCCCAGCCATCTCAACTAATGAAGTTTCACTACTTCATCAATTGATTTGCCAATGTTATACAGAATGAAATGTCAGACGGGAAAACAAAACAAATACTATGCTGAGTAACCATCACATTGAATTAAAACGGAATTAATGTTGAACAAAAATCATAATGAGTAAAAGAACGTAATTTTGAATTTCCATCCCGTCATATTGACAAGATAGTGTAATATTAGTTACTTCTCAGTGATATTAGTATAAGCACTAAGATATTTTTTCTTCGAATGATCAATCGCTTATACATATGCACAAATATAACCATCATTTGTGCTATTTATAAGCTATGATACTATCGCTTGGAATTTACAACTCCATGTTTCGCCCTGTAAAAAGTTAGCTAGTAAGTAATGAATGATGCAGAAAAAACACGTCACTAAGAATTTATGCTACAAAAAAGATTCAAAGGACTCGCACAGAATGGATCAATTTCTGATTACTTTTTTTCTTATGCAAGCTAACAGATAAAAGTAGGCAATAAAGTATCTGGAGACAGAGACATGCCAAACATATATATTCTCTGGTAAATTTCGTGAGATCATTTGAAACTAGTCAATCAGCTACAATGTAGGACCACGCTCATATATGCATCGGTCCAAGTTGCCATACCTCAATAGCACAACAAGATGAACACCGAATTCGTAGGAGCAGTTGTTTCAATGGTAACGAAATTTTCCAGGGAATATATAAGGCTGACATGTCTCTCATTTGAAACTAACCTAACAAATGTCACTAACACCAAAATGAACATCAACAGATGGTTATGTGAAGTATTAGCCTGATCAAAGATGTAAAAAACTCACTTGAGAACCCGCAGTGCTGTCTCCCACATGTATGTAAACTGAAGACTATTTTATTCATCGTCCTGCACATTTCACCCCTTAAAATCTCGTTAAGTTAGTTTGAAACTGTGAAACGTAAGGAAACCTATCACTATAATCTAGTAGTCAGAAATACACTTGACTCAATAGTGACATCACTGATTGAGTGACAAGATATAGAATGACAAACATAGTCTCGATCTAGTACGTTAGATAACTGAATAACTAGTTAGTTCGATGCTAACTTGTTTACAGTAAACTAAGAGACGAACGATGGTGGGTAGACAGGTAAGGTTATGAGAATGGAGCATTAATATGTAAACAGTAACGCAAAGTACTTACCACTTCAGACTTATTTGGTTTTACGGTAGAACCACTAGGTTTCGGGGGAAAATTAGATTTAAAAGGTTTCATTAGATATGGCAAGGGTTCGCTAGGGGATGTAGTAGTTCCAGTTAACGTAGATGTTGAGAAAGACTGTTGGTCAGACGTAATACCCAACTCAACCAGGCACTCAATAATCTTCCTTAGTCGTAAGGTAGATAGAATTTCTCCACGTCGTTCACGTTCGATCTCACGGAGAATTGCGCTGATTAAAACCCTGGCATGAGGTTTTAGTAAGTGTTCGCGCCATGTTATTAGTGCAAGCTACAATTAAAAAAAAATTTGTGAGACATTTGTTTGTTACGTTTTTAATACTAAATATGCAGAAACTAATGAAATACACTTGTTCTTTAGGAAATCAAACGGTTAAATAAGTTTTCATATGAAAGCACAATGTTTACCTAATCAAAGCTGGGAACTAATTTTCATCAAAAAAGAAGCAAATGTATAATCATGAGGTCTTTAAAAGATGGGGACCTGAAATGTTAATTAAGCAGAAAAATAAAAATTATAAAACTGAATTTCCAAACAAGCTTTTTCATGAACAACATGTCGACAAGTACGTTGGCTGAACAGAAACAGCTGATAATAAAGCGAACTTAATTTGTGAACAGTGTACCAAACAGCTCACCAGTACATTGAGTGTTCCAACACCCTGGAATAGGTTGATAGTCGCCCCTATCAGTAAAAAGGGTTCAAGTCACGTATGCAACAACTATCGGGGGATAAGTTTACCACCGGTTGAGTCCGAATTGTGAACTTCCAACACACTTCGCAGATTGTTCAAAACTCCTGAAAGACTGGCTAGCGAGGATCAGGCTGATTTTCGTTCTGATCGAAGACGAATTGATCTTATCTTCACCCTTCGCCAAATGTTAGAACACCATCATATCTATTGCAGGCTAACAAACGTTACACTTCTTGATATCAGGCCCGCCTTCGATTTCTTCGACAGGATTGTTCTCTAGGATTGTCTAGTGAAAAAAGGGTGTCCCTGAGATGGTTATTAACATTTTGAGGGCCTTATATACAAATACCTCGGACAGAGTGGGAGCATATAACCACCTCTCTTCATTGCTTCATTTAAACAGTGGGTTTAGTCAGAGTTTCCCAGTATCACCACACCTTAACAACTTTTTCATTGATGACGTTCTGGAAACAGCTCATATGGGTGTAGGTAATAGTGGTGTGGATTTTACCTGAGGAAATGCAAACCGATCTTGAGTACGCGGATGATAATTTCTTACTGTGAGATGGTAATCAAGCCATAAAACCTGCCCTTAGTCACTTCCAAATGCAAAGTACTTTACTCAGTCTAGCAGGGCACTACCTGCATTTATTCTTAGTGATGAGCAGATAGAAGTCGAGAAGTTCGTGTATCTGGGTAGTTGTGTAGGTACTGGTGATGCCATTATTGGCAAGATTAAACAACACAGTGAAAAACAGAGGCTTGTATCAATCCGGGCCATCATTGATGCCTTCGTGATGCCACCCTAGCTGATAAAGGTCGGATCTACAGCGCGTCAGTGAGAGCAATTTTATCCCATACTTGTGAAGCTTAGCCTCTTCAAGTTGAGGATGTTAAGCGACTCGTGAATTATTTACCGAATCTGGGACTGGTTGGAAAGAATGGATAGGTGGCCAGTTAATGAGGTGGCGATGTGCTATGAAAGGAAACAGCATAGGACTAGCATATGTTGGTCCTTTACTACCCCTGGTTGGGGTTCTAGAATTAATTCAACAAAGTGGCTTGAGGTGTTATCCGACACGGCTCAGAATATGAACCAGTGGCAATCCTGCTATAACTTTCACTTTCTTCATATAAATGAGAGGAACATTCCATTCTGATTGTATTTCCCTTAGCTGAACTGTTTCTTACACTATAGCTACTATTGTTATTTTCATTCGTAATGTTATTCACCCTACTAAATTAATTCATTCGTTTTATTATTATACTAACCTCTTCTCCGTCTATTCATAGTCTCATTCTTACTGTTACGCATATGTTTTGGTGTCCTTTTTTATCAATATTTATATACTTAAATAAATATCAAAAGAATAAGTACTGAACTACGACAAAACTCAGGTATCGTATTCAAGAACAAAGGATCATTCAACAAAAAACAAGTTAACTTGACTATACAATCTACCATATGACAATTTAACTGTAATATGACAATCAAATGATGTAACCAACATATCTGATCGGCATCGTTTACATTCATCCAGTTGGCATGAGAGCTAGTAGCATTACCTATCTAACCAAGACGCATTAGATGTAGCGAGGCTCAAAATTGCAGTCTGATAGTCAGAAATCGAATATCCCAATCAGCAAGTTACCTCTCCATGTATACTTATGATTTATAACAGAAAAACCTCACATGTAGTGAACACGCGTATTTAGGTGACCGATAAATTAGTCGTTACCGACGTATAAGCAGTTGTAAATGTCACCTACTTTGATAACAGTAAATATAAGACAGACTACTTAGACCAACCAATAGCGAAGCATCCACTGGATACTAGACGCCATTCAGATGTTGAAAACAAACCTTTTGGGACCACTAATCCAAAAAGGTCACAATTATTGAGCAAGAGACTGAGTAAAAACCATAGGGTGATAAAGATGGATAGGTTACCATTGGACGTTTAATTGGATAACTTCATCATATGAAAACGTTTGCGCGGTAGGAATAACACTAACAAAGTCTAAAACAGCTTGAGGATGCTTATAAATGAGTGTGGCGCATATATATCTGGCGCCCCCTTGTACCAATAGTATTATGAATGTCATTTGGGTAAAGTAACATCCTAAATACTTATCGTTTGATCACTAAACAAACCTGTGAGATTACCAGGACCAGACGAAATGCACCAAAAGCTACTAAAGGGACCTTAGTTTTTAATCAGTCTGCGGCTTATTTGGCAGTGGCAAAAGTAGGTGGTAGTAAATCTTATCCCCGAAATAAATATTTGGCATGATCTCGAAAACTACAGCCCCATAAGTTTAACCAGCTTAGGAGTACGGAATATCCCTAGGCAAATATCCACATATTCGGACGAAGACCTTGTATTTTCTAACCAGTGGTATGGGCTTACAAAGCTCCATAGCTTACTAAATCATAATGGCAGGGGAAAGCTAATGTCATGAGAGAACATAAGTTATGTACCGATGTACTCTTGTTTTCACAAAATATTTTTATACAGCGCCGAATACCCAAGCTAAATAATGTCACAATCAGGGATAAAATACTAGTGAGAAAAAAGCTTATATCCGAAACCGAACACAGATCATAGATTAACACCACGTTTACTAGGAAGAGGAGTAGCAGTGTTACAGCGTTGAGGATAATACTATTACCAACACTTACGTAGTCTTAGTAATTTTTTGCTTTTGTCAATACTGAGACCTAGAGAAAGACAAGAATGACGATTACAGTTTATGTTGGAATGAATGACCGAACGACGTGATGCACGACAAATACTAATTATAATATCTAAGTGAAATATGACATGAAAGCCACCGAGGGTTGAATGAATAAATGCCAACAGGTACAGGACTACTCACTATCCATAGTGTATATATCAAGAGGGAGTATAAAATCTTTTTCGGCTTGCTCAGTACTGTAACTTCAAATACTTTACAACAATAAAAAGAATCACGTACTGTATAAACGACATAAACATTCTTCCGTCCCTCTTCACATTCCCGTTTAACCCAATGTCTATTCAAGTAATTACAAACTCCATCCAGAACTCTTGAAGCAAAACGGAATTCTGTCCAAGCCTTCTCGAAATATGAAAGGGTTTCTTCATCAACTAGATTATTTCCTTTCTGTAAAGAAGAAATGACTGGAAAGTACTGTAATTTACTAGTTTTAAGGAGTGTACATGGGCCTTTAGATAGTTACGCAACTTCTTGTACAGTTCAAAACCTACTAATTTCCCCCCAGGTTCAGTTTCTATAGCACTCCTACTGGGGGTTGCATGAGATTTCGGGTCGACTGATGTACAGTAATTGTAAACATGAGTATGAAGCTCCATGTATCTTTTTCTCTTGATTGTCTCCAGCCTGAATATAGCGTCAAAACCGCTTTTTAGGTCATCCCAAACCAATGCCAAGTTCCCAGTAGAAGCAGACATATTTAACAAAAAGGAGGGTTAATTTACATAGGGAAGCTAGTATGCGAACAGCCGCGCATCGGTACAACTGTCCAATAAAATCCAATAAACAATAGTCTTTTACCTTTGTTGGACGTGAAGATTCCTATTGACAATTGCTGTGTGTTACTTCTCAAAACATTGACTGATTGGTTTATTTCAGCTAATTTATTGATGTCAAAGAGCTGAGGTTGTACCCCTAGGCACCATCTTAGGCCCTTTACTTTTCCTTCTGTCTGTTAATGAATTGCCTTATTACTTAAGTCGTCAACATTGCTGTTTGCGGACGATGTCAAAATCTGGAGAACAATAAGAAGTGAGGCTAATCGTTTTCATCTCCAAGCTGACTTAGACGAATTAGTTAGATGAGCTCATGATTGGAGCTTGGAAGTTAATTCCAGGAAGAGCGTGCTCATGCACATCGGGCATGGCAATAGTTACCATTATATCATTATTGTTACATCTCTCTCACGCGTTCAGAACATAAAGACTTAGTAGTAACTACAAGTCACGACTTTAAAACTATTACGAACTGCAACGCGGTTGAAACGTTTAAATCTTTTCCCCTTGTCTTATCGTAGGACTCGAGATGACCATATACTGGCATTTCGTAACTTTAATTATGATTTGGGTGTTAATATGTCTTATTTCTTGCTCCCTCAAGCACTGATAATCTCCAAGGTCATAGCAAGAAGGTTCACAAACCGCCATCTAATAAACTAAAGGTGGGGTCCCGTTTTTCGCATCCAGTGGTCAATGACTGGAAAGCATTACCCGAACAAGCGGTATAAACCCCATCAGTGAACATTTTAAAGGAGAAGCTGGACCTCCACTGGAAGGAAATCTGTCAGGATTAACGCACGTTCATCAACTTCTATCCATATTACTGAAGACTGAAGACTGAGGTATCCTATTTTCTCTGAAGAATGGATAGGCTCTAAATTAGATTAGTAGGGAGAAGGACGATTGATGATCTAGGTACGTAACAATGAATCAGATGGTTCTGTAGGGAACAGAAGAAGCTTTCACTTAACAACGTTCCGTACCCACTAGCAGTTCTCACAGATAGAAACCTAGACCTATTTGGGGATTAAAAAACGAAAAAATAGTAGTAAATTACAATGATACACTGTCTTTAGTCCTCATGAATATGTCAAGTTTCCCATTCATAGACTCCTCATAAAACGCTTGGACGACCACGGCCGGCAGCGAACTACAGTATTCTACTACTCTTTACGAGTTGGTGTGCGTACAGTTCGTACTGCTATGTTGTATGTCCAGTTTCTGAATGTTTCCTATGAGTCTCGTGTTTGAGCTGATCTTCGGTAGGTATTTAAGCGGATTTCCAGAAGTGTTTGGGCTTTTGTGGGTCAGTGGATAGTCATCTCCAAGATGCTTATGCTCAAATGTGTAAATGTTCAGTGATTTGAGGTGCCCTTCATAAGTCTTGAATTTGAGTGCGGGAACTGATCAGGTAGAATGCTCTCCTGTCAAACTGGTCAAAATTAAGCTTCAACATCACCAGCGCTGGCTTTGATAGACAGACGTTTTTCGTAGTTAGGATAAGACTTCATATCACAAAGTGGCAAAACTCCAAGATATTGCTTAACTTGGGAGAAATCTAGAGGGGAGTTACCTAAGTTGTACACGTTGTCTTCAGCATGTCTCAGATGAAATACTTTACACTTTGAATTGTTAAAGGTGATTCCGTTGTTGTCCATCCAACTTTAAATTCCAGTCAGATCCTCCTAAATCGCCAGCTGATTATCTTGGTTGCATACTTCTCTCCAGAGCATCACATCGTCAGCAAAATGTGCCAAGTCATATGATACTCTAAGAGGAACGTCGTTCATATCAAAGTTAGAAGAGAAGACGTCATGGTACTGAACCGTAGTGAATGCCTCTAGGACATTATTTGGCCTGATAAAGAGCTGAGTTTACCCCCATCTTAAAAACCCGATTATTTAGATATGCAGTAAGTCGGTTTATTTATGTTGATTCAATGCCTAATCGTTTGAAACACATGATTGGCACTATCAAAGACTTTCAAGAATCAGTGGCGAATTACGTCAAACTACTTTTTGCGACCTAGGACGGTTGTCCATCTGTTCACTGTGATGGTAATTGGAGTTAAAAAATGTTCACGGATGGTAATTAGTCTCTCGGACCATCGCATATCACGAACTCTATAATTTTGGAGGGTATTGAGAGAAGTGCTGCCGACCAGTAGCTTGAAGGTTGACCGCGTCGACCTCCTTGCATGATCCTTATAATGTGAGCGAGATTCCGACTTTCCGGTAACATGTCTCGGCTTATCAAATGTGACAAAATCACAATGAGCAGAAATGTCAGTTTAGTATAACAAAACGGACTATATTCGGACCAAGAAAAGTGTTTTGTCTAGATGCTGCAGTCTCTGACACACCAAGTCAGCACTCAGGTTCAATTCTGTGAGTCCTGTTGAGTATTAGGCGAAGCTCTCGTCGATGTAGCCAGTATGCCACTATTTCGTTTGTGTTCTACCCACAAGTGTCCTTTGCGTTCTTTATGGTTGTAGGTTGTTTGTAGTTTTAGGGACCGCTTGTGAGTAAGACAGTTTGGTAGCACGAAAGATCTTGTGGGTCAAGAACTCTTATGAGCGTACACATCAAGTTGATGGTATTCTATCTGTTTGCAACTTATCCATTTGTATAACCAATACAGGATAAACTGTCGATTATAAATTCATCTTTCTACTTATTCACTATCAACTAACTACTACCAAAAACTATCTACTAGAATATTTTACTTTCTTGACCACTGCCTGACTAATTTTCAATTGCTGAGTTCCATGGCGAATCAGAGGATACAAATGCTAGAAATTTACGACTATTTCGCCAGGCAATGCTACGTGTTTGGCTCAAATCAAATTTGGACGTATACCAATTCAGTCTACAACGCTTCGTTAATCTACGAATTTAATCAATAAATTTCAATTACTTTGGGCAATAGTAACCCAGGCGAGTTTCAAAACTACGTTAAATAATTTCGTATAATGTTTATGATGACTAATAACATTTCGAGGCTACTTTCACTTAGAGTAGTCATACATTCTGTCACTGCCGTCACGTTTTAGTCGAAACTATGTACATTTATTACTCGTAAGTCAACATACTCCGAAAAAACGTATTTCATGTACACGAGCAATCTTAGTCCATGTCCTTGCCAGACATTCATCGTATTTAATATGTCACTTAACGCTGGATAATAAGCCATTTCATGAAACGATCACGTTATCTAAACCTAAATTTTAGTTACTTTGGTGGTTACCATTTAAATTAATGTTTACTATGCGCTTTGTATTTGCTGTTATCTCACACAGTAAATCATGGCTCGATTTCCTTATTGCACGAAAGTCACTTCAATTCAGTCTTCGGTTTATTCACATGCAATACGATTTTGGAAAATATCTAAATGACCTCTGAAATTCTCCACGAACCCAACGATAGTCTTCGTGTATGTTTGCTTTTACACATCCAATTGCCACATTAGCAATCCCCAAACGAACGTTCAGTACAATTGTCAGTATACGAAATGATGTTACTTCGATGTGACGTTACAACACATCCGAACTACTGTAGTTATTCAAATTCGATGTCGTATTTTTTTTATCTTAGGAAGTATTGTTTCCGCTTGGCTCCTATCTAGCGGATGATTTCGGTACATCAATCGGCTGTTCAACCACTCGACGATCTAAAGCCTGTCCAGTTCAATTGGTGGTTTGACGACACTCATTCACGCGAATCGTCAGATTACGCAGCCGAGCGAACCTCCTGCGAACTGACAACGATATTGTCGTCCCTACCCCAACACTGACAGAATTTTTCACCGATATCATTGATATGAGTCCAAAGTGACACTCTTGGTTTCTTATGTTCTTTTCGACATTTTTCGGTTCACTCATTAAACACATGTGCAGCATTCATCGTTTATCATTTTTAGATATTTCATCGTGCCACCTTTCGCTCTCGATCCGTATTTCTTCGACCCTTATTGATTTTCACAGCTGTTATCAATTTTTTCAAAGTGACTGCAAGTTGATCAGAAGCTTCGCACAAGGAAACCACGACTTATCTTCACGGTTATACTTCTGTACTTACAGTTAGTCTGTTAAACATAGATATACCTAGAAATCGACGCTTACGAGCAGTTGCCAACAACACTTACTGACTTTCTACTCTGTACCGAGGGCAGTACAAACATCGGCATCGGTTGATAATACACTTATCGTACTATCACTGTGACATCACTACTCTTGCGGCAAACTTAACGTTTCTCATCTGAGGAACTCAACCACATGTCAAAGCTATCTCTTTCAACGCGACTTAATAAAACTCTAAAATGTCATGTTCTTTGTTCTATTATTTCTATGGTTGATCACTTAACATTCAACCAACGTCCTAGTTATGTGTTATTACTCGTTTATTCCCGATCAGTTTCTGCCGCCTCCTTTCCATTTGTCTTATAGCTCAGCAATACCCGGAGGATTCATATTATTCGTCTGGCATCCTCCGGCGCGCGACTACTCCCAACATGTTCGGCATCGATTCAAACGGCCGTTGAATCTGGTGGGGGAGTATTGTAAGGTCAGTGAAATGTCACTGAACTCTAGCCAAGTCATCCGGCAGCTGGGTCACTAAATATCGAACAGATCATCTATCCTTGTCAAGGCCAAGAATAGTCAACGCGCATAAGTCAATAATACGCCATGGACTGGCCCATGCGGCAGTGGTTGCACTTTCGCTTGTATCTACCCTAACTAATATATTATTGTAATAACGTCCTTTGAGTTGTACCGTCTTCAGAGCATCCATGATCCCTTAATACGCCGATGGGGGAATCCACGTAAGGTGCTGGTCGCGGGGTGTGAATTCGAAGTTAGATTGTTCGTCACACCGTCCCCGTTTAACTCGAGTAGGCGTCCAATCATTTCGAAATAGATCATCAACGTTGATGGTCTACAGTATGCTTCCCTCTCCACCTACTGCACATTGACCTGTAAAGTTGAAATGCTTAAACTTTTAAAATTCTAACACCCGCTTTCAGAAGGATGTTTCAGTTCAGTTTTGCAGGTAAAAGTGAAGGCCTGCCCATGCTACTGCTCCGTAATTTATTATGTTCATGTTTCGAAAATATTCTGATGATATGAGAAATAACTTCAATCCACCCTCGTCTGTAGGGTAAAACATTCTGTTAAATTACGGCTACTCGTGGTAAGGTGAGATGTCACGTAACAATGGTTCATTATGCAAAATACCTCTTTATATCACGTTTGTAACGCTGAATCGGTTTCACTTCCTACATAGTTATCCTATTACAGGCAAACTTAGAAAATTTGTTAAAAATGAAGCCTGCACATGACACCATAAAATCAATAAAAATAAATATGTGCTGAAGTGGCTTCGACAAAAAAGGCAGATGTTTATTTGTGTACCAGAATACTGTCTTCAATGCCATATTTTAAAACCACTCATAATCCTATACTTTTAACTTCTTTTTAAACCACCTCCATTTATTGTTATTTGTTCAGTCATACCATATTTACGCCTGTTTTTCTTAACATATTGGACTTCTCATGCTTAAAACTCACTTTAATAATAGAGAATGACTCAATTTCAATGGCCATTGATATTGTCTTCTCCGCTTCTCGCCTTTTCTTTTTCTATCCCTCCTTTTCAGCTCCCTTGAGATAAGTCTCCAAAAACGTATGAAACGGGGCACTCCGTCCTGCGCCGTCAATAATATTTCGGGCGTTCTAGAAGAATATAAGGTTGAGGTTTCTAGAAGCTCTCAATTTTATATGGATTTATTCTCAACCGTCAATCACACTTCTTAACGCGACCTGCATAAAGCGCCTCTACTCTTATATTAACAATATGAGTCTTACTAATATTATTTACATTCGTATATGAAGAGTGTTATTCCTCATAATTCTATGACCAGTGTGTGTTATAAAACATTAACCTAACTGAGTGATCTACTACAGTGAAGACTGTATCCATTGTAAGAATTTGATCTTGATCGTAGACTAGTATGTCTCATATAACAGACTGTTATTTGAAAACACATTATAATTACTATTCTGAGTATTATTAACAGTGCGTAGTTCACACAACTCATCTATTTTGTCCGGAAAACCCGCGACGTTCATATTTAAGCAGTTTATGCTTCTATTTTGAAACTCGTGAATTTCCTCGTCCTGTCTATCTGAATGAGCTCTATGTACATGGACAGGCAACATACCCACACAGGCTTTCCCCAATTGGTCGCACCTGTTTCTTCTAAGTTTTCACATTTGTCTTGGCAGTCCATAAATGGAATAGTCAGCTCCTATTTACTTTTGTGCTTGATCCTTTCATCATGTGACCTGTCCGAATACACGTGGATTTCGATTGGTAAAGGACGTCTGTTGGCATGAAATGCTTCGTGAGTGGTAGCCACCATATAGAAGGATAGGAAGATTATCTTCATTAGATGGAGTCTATAAACCCCATTCTTCTTGGCTAATTGTACCACTTGTTGGGTCAATTTGTCCTTAAGATTCAAAGACTGCCTTATTAATTTCCACCTTAGAGTATCATGGTTGGGATCCACGTTTTCTTGGCCACCTTGGACAATGGTATGACTCCCGAGGAAGAGCGTCTCCCGAAGTCACTTAGAGATGCTCCTGAGGAGATCGTTCTCAGGATATGGGATATCAGACAGTACTCTTAAGTTCCCTTCTGATCCCAGCAAGTAACTAGCGAGCAAAACATCCTACACATCAACAGTGTTAGTGAACGTTACGTGATGAAGTCTTGCATGACTTTCTTGCTTGGAATCTTCCTCCTGGCTGAACCGTTTAATCGTCACCCGCTCAATTTCAGGAAGTTTGAGATTCTTCAGACCGAAACAGCAGTTGATTTTCCACTCCAGTGAAACTCAAAAAGAAATGTAACCGGCCGAACGTTAGGCTGAGGACATGTTACTTGGATCGAAATGGGTACTTTCGTTGTGTGTATAGATATACGCGAAACGAAGCGCACATGTATAAGTATGGTACGTATTAGTGAAATATAAAAAACGATTGCATATAAGGATATGATACAGAGAGAAAGGATTAGTTCGTCGAAATAATAGTTTTAAGTTATTTTAAGCTCTTAGTTCAAGGGAAGGCAAAACGAGCGTACACGTACACCATTGTGATCGAGTCTGAGCTGTCATCTAGAGTCTCTACTTTAGTATCATTATTCTTGCTTCGAAGTTATATATTTTCTTATTAACGTTATTATTAATCGCGTGACATCCAACAAACCTGTAAGCCATTCTTTTAAGTACACTAACAAATTTAAAGTCACCAGATATATTATTACTCTCTATTTCTCGATCGATTGCTGCTGTCTCCTTCCCATTTGTCCCGCAGATGAGTATTACCCAAAGGGGTTTTAAGGCAAATTTTTGCTTGCTACTGCATCCCGCATAGTTGGTACCCATTTAAACGCTGCTGAACCTTGTGGAGAGTATTATAGAACCAGCGAAATGTCACGGGTCTTCACAAATCATCCAGGAGTTAGGTCACTGAATATCGAGCAGTTTACTAGTTTTCATCAAGATCTAGGGTAGCCAACACTCACAGTTAATTGCTAACTAATCACACCTGCAACGCACTGATTCGTTTATTTTTATCATTTTTCAGAAAAGAATTTTATTGTAGGGCCAGTAAAATGTCACTGAACTCTAGCCAAGTCATCCGGCAGCTGTGTCACTAAATATCGAACAGATTATTGATCCCCGTCAAGGTCAAGGACAATCAACGAGCATTAGTTAATCATACGCCATGGACTAGCCCATGCGGCAGTGGTTGTACTTTCGCTTGTATCTACCTTAACTAATATATTCTTGTAATAACGTCCTTTGAGTTGTACAGTCTTCAGAGTATCCATGGTCCCTTGGTACGTCGATGGGGGAATCCACGTAAGGTGTTGATCGTGGGGTGTGAATTCGAAGTTAGATTGTTCGTTACACCGTCCCCGTCTAACTCGAGTAGGTTTCCAACCATTCGACATAGATCACCAACGTTGATGGTCTACCTTATCTTTGTTACTAGGATTGATAATACAAAGCATTGTCGTAATTAGCAACTATAAGTAACACAAAAATTTTTTTATAACCCATCTATCTTATTTGTTACGAAGTTTACGGTCTTATAAACTGGATTGCAAAACAATGGTATCAGGGACTAAGTCAGGGTTGGAAAAACAGTTTCCAGTTCTTTGAACGATATTTAATAATGAAAGCTTTTATCCTTGACCTCGCCTCGCTAGATCGTGGGTTCTCACTGCTGAATAGTCCCACAATAAAAAGGAAAGGGCCGTCCAGTTCTTTCAGGTTTTCCCTGGTGGTCTAGGTTTAATTGACTAACACTTTCAACTATGAAAATAAAAGTTTTATTTTACACTACATCAAAAGAACGATATAAATACTATAAATAATACGATGCTCAAAACATTGAGAATCATAAGAAAGATTATGTTTATCATCATTGAATGAAAATCCAAGTGTAAAATATGTCAAATAGTTGTATCTTCCTATATAGTATGTAAATAAGAGCATGTTTGCTTGAATCATTTTGTTTTCAATAACCTGTTGAATAAGTCATCTAATCAGTGATTCTTTGATGATAGGCTAGCTGGTGAATCACGAATGTTGTCAATTGATAATGAGTTCTGAAAAACTAATAAGAAAGTTTTACCGACTCTATGTAGAAATACTTATGATTTACATAGAATTTCTGCTCAATGGCTACACAAAGTGGCTTCAAAATCGCTAAATCATCTTAATATTATTGTTGAATCGTCGCTAAATTATGATCACATCAACTTTACTCGGATAAATATGGAGAGTTATTTTAGTCTTAGGATTCACCGATATCTCGTTGTTTAGAATTAGTACTTTCATGAACAAAACACGGTTGGGGACAATCGAATGTACTTGGATACAAATTACAGACTATCTCACTAAATTCTGTAAATATCAATCCATCTTCTCTAATTTCATTGTTTGTGCATTTTCCAACCAATTGCGCTTCATTTCAGTTCTTAATTTATTGATCTTCTACCAAAATACATTCTATGTCTGATCATTACCATATACTACTTATGAGGAAATAAGTAGACCACACCACAGTACTTCAATATCATCAGTACTGATCAAACTACATTGTTTCACGTTTTTACTCATTTTACGTATAAGAGTTTAATAAATATAATGATTTATTACAATATCACTAATATAGTAAAGTGAAGTGACATTTCAAAAAAATGAAAATATAGTTACGTTATGTTGATTATATCAAACAATGAATGCCAACTTAGATCGATATCCATGTATATGTATCTACATGTATTTAGGTACAAATATATGTCTATGTTTGTAGAATATGTATCCCAAAGATCATTTTTTCACAACGATTGTCAATCCATCTCCAAGATTTAACAAAGAGATTCGTACACGATTATCTCTAGCTAACAAATCGTTTACCTCTCTTATACCAACAGTTTCGGAAGTTTGATCGGTCTCATCAACCACAAGCCCCGACCAAATAACCTTGGAAAGGAATTAAAACAAAAAAAATTATGTATAATTTTCACAGGTCATTTCGTCAAGATTTTTATGCATTGTAAATGTTGTTCTTTAGAACTCAATTAAACCAAAAAAGAATTGAAAAAGAAGTAGTACTGAACAGATTGCTACATTCTAGATCCCGATTTCTCAGTATCGCTCATCCCACGATCTCACACAAGATCATGGTAGAACTCTCACATCATACAATCAGAGTGACATATTTAAACTACTAGTCCGATATCAGTAGTTTCATTTTCCTATATTCCATCAAACGTGTTTATTTATATATTCTCAGATTAAACATAAATTATTATAATACATGAAATACTTATATGTATCGAATAATGAATGAATACTATACAAGCTGGCTTTTGTTTAAATGCATGATAACCTTAACCTCCCCCCCCCCAAAAAAAAACAAGCATATATATTTCATAAAATGAATAATTCAAAAAACAAAATAACAACAACTAAATCAAATCATTCATATCCTATTGTTTTTGTGTAATATTGTATTGAAAAGCTTGATAAAATCTAATGAAGAAATAATATCATGTTCAAATTTGATAGATTTTATTTTTGAAAAAAAAAGTTTTTATAAATAAAATATTTTCAACTAAAAGTATAATGAATCATGAGTCAATTGAAGTTAGACCACCATGGAAAACCTGGAAAAATTGAATGACCGTTTCGTCCTATTGTGGGACTCCTCAACAGTGCGCTTCCACGATTCCACTTCGCGATACTCGAACCCAGGACCTATCAGTCTCGGTTGTCCAACTTATTGGATTGGTTGAAGTTAGACATGAACACTGTCGGATTCCGGCCGGCCAAGTGGTCTAGTGGTTAATTGCTCGCTAGCGTGACGGATAGGTTTTGTGTTCGAATCTCGCGTGGGGAGGTCGTGGATGTGTACTGCCACTGAGGAGTCCCACAATAAGACGAAACGGCCGTCCAGTGTCTGCAGATTTAAAATGGTGGCCTAGCTTCAATTTACTCATGATTTCAACTATGAAAAATAATGAAATTTTCACAAAACCCTTTCTGATAGAACAATTTGTGAAATAAGAAGAAACTATTTGTTTTTTGCTTGGTTTCAAGTAAACTGGACGTAAAAGCAGTCCATAATACAGCCAACTATTCAAGTATCAATATAGCATTGTAATACAAAAAATTACTACATCAGTATATAGAAAAAAATTATAGGAAAGTATTAGGCTGATGATCAATTGATTTACGTTCTTCAACATTATTATGAATACATATCGATTATGAGTATCATCATTCGCTTCATAGAACTATGAAGACTTAGATCTATACTATAAGTTTTTTTATGTTCGAAAGAATTTCCAATCAAATCTGGGTAAACCTTCATAGATGGTAATATAAATTGAGTTATTCATTGTTCGTCTCAAACACAAAAAGAATCATAAAATACTATTTATTAGATTGTAGTAATTTTAATCAACACTTAGTCATGGAACTGAAATTCAGATTACCAAACATCATTTCAAGAAATCAATTAGGGAAGATAAGTTAAGACTGCAATAATTCTAATTAACATAGCTGGCAAATAAGTGACCGAGTTTATGGAAAACTTTCAGTTGAATTTTGTGACAGGCAATACTTTCATGACATTTCTCAAGTCTATAGTTCACTATATAAAGTAAAGGTATGTACATTATAAGCAAAGACGGATGGTGGCTAGAAGTGGGATCCATGACGCGCGTTTCGTCTCATTTGGGACTCGTCAACTGGATGTATCTACTGCAGTAATCGGGAACACAAGTGAGGACAAGGGAATGTATTTCAACACAAAATTACAGAATCACTTAGTAAAATCTGAGAACCATACAGTAAATGCTTGATTTGCAAAATATCAATAAATCATCTCAGACTTCACAGTTCCTTCACTTACATACCAATCGCTTTCTGTTTCCGTGTTTTCTTTCTCGATCTTCTCGACTTTCTGCTTCCAGACATTCCATTCCTGACTAGCAGTATATACTACTTATGTCGATATAAGTAGCACACACTACACCTACATCCCAGGGTTGATGTTCAATCTGGAACTCAAGCTGAGTACCATTCGTTTCAAACGCTATTGCATTATCCACTTAGCCACTGAGTCCTGGTCGCCACTAGCTTGGGAAATAAGGCGAAGTGTAAATTCATATTATATATCCAGCTAAGAGAACAAACCAATATCAAAATTGTTTGAATCTTCTATTGATGTTTAGGATTGCAATTGATCAGTCACAAATAAAACGAAACACGAGTCCTGGATTCCACTGATAGCCATCATCCAGCTTTGTTTATAATGCTTGTGACTGAAGATAATATCTGGGCAATCCATACAGGATGCTCATATGCCAATAAAATACTGATCAATTGCAGCCCTAAACATCAATGAGAAGATTAGAACAAACAATACAAAATGAAAAGTATGTACAGTTAAGGAATACTGAAGAATCGTATAGAATAACATACGCTTCATTTATTCAGTACTTTACACATCGGTTCACGAATGTCTTCATCTACAAAACAATTCACTTACATTTAAATCAAATAAACGTAGAGGTCAATAATACGATGGACGGAAAAAAAAACACTTACATTATCGATTGCGATTATACCACGAGGTCGAATCAGTTTAAGACATAATTCATAATAATTACTGTAATTTTGTTTATCCGCATCAATAAGAGCAAAATCAAATGTTTCACTTTGTCCATTATCAATCAAATTTTCTAAAGGTATAATGAAATAACATTAAAACCAAATTACAATGTTAATAGAGCAGATATTAAGAAAATGTCCTTAATTTTAAAACTACATCTATCTACAAATATCAGCTCTGTATTAAATGTTAACCACTGAACTACTCTCATTTTTACTTACTATTGTTTGTTTGAATCTTCCCAATGATGTGTTGGGACTGAAACTGATCAGTCTCTTATTGGCATATGTGCATACTGTGCGTATTGCCTTGATATAGCCTTAACTCACAAGCATAGTAAGCAAAGATGGATAGTGACTAGCAGTGGAATCCAGTTTGAAGCACGTTTCGTCCTATTTTGGATTCGTCAGCTGGATGTACATTCATCTCAGAGTTGATGTTCACTCTGCGACTCGAACCCAGTAACTTTTGTAGGAAGCAATTTCCTACAGGGGTAACTTTAAGCTATTCTCTAAACTGTCGAATACAGAGTCTTGGTTTCGCCAAAGTCAAAACAAGTAAGCTATTTGGCCTAATAAACTTTATCTGTTTCTAAAACGTAAATTAACAACATTAGTATGCGAATAAACAGTAGTCTATTACATAGTGAAAGGGAGAAATAGAAATGACATACCGAACAGTAACTGGAGAATAGGAAAAGTGAGTCAAAAAGGGAGAATATTGTTTCAGAATGAACATAAAATTGTGATTGGTGGATAAAACAAAGACAGTCATACAAGGTCAAAGAATTTAGTGCGGTGGTGAGCGTTTCACCTATCATTGGTGTGTTCACTTATCGATCACACTTTACAACTTTCGCTTTAAACGCCATCACGTTATCTACTCCGCCACTGAGTCCTGATAGCCACTCGCTTGTGCAATGGGATGAAGTTGAAATTCACTTAGTATTACTTGTTTGAATCTTCCCGTTGATATTAAGGACTGCAACTGGTCAGTCTCCAATTCACATATCTGCATACTATGCGTATTGCCTCTATATAGCCTTAATTCACAATTATGGTAAGCAAAGATGGATAGTGGCTCTCATTTTTAACCTATAAATCGTAGTTTCATTGATCAAGAAATATAATGCGTTAGCTAAACTAAATGATATAAGATCATTTTTTGCCGGTCCCAAGCCCGGATAAAGGAGGAGGGTTGGGCATGGGGTTAGCGACCCCATCCCGTAGAAAAGCTAACTCGCTAAAAAAAACGCTAACCAGGAAACATAATTCAAACCATTTAAACTCTGCTCTGGGATTTGAAGGAATAATGACGTCTCATGATGAAAGCCGAAATTCTTCGGAAGTCACGAGACCGATGCACCTTCTAACAACCAGAGCAACACTCTTTATAGGTACATGGAACGTCCGGACAATGTGGGAGACAGGAAAGACCAGCCAAATAGCAATGGAAATGAGGAGATACAACTTGGCAGTACTCGGAATCAGCGAAACCCATTGGACACAAACTGGACAACAAAGGCTAGGTACAGGAGAGATGCTGCTGTACTCCGGTCACGAAGGGGAAAATGCTCCACACACTCAGGGAGTTGCTCTAATGCTGTCCAAAGAAGCAAGAAATGCACTTGTGGGATGGGAATCACATGGACCCAGGATAATCAAAGCATCATTCAGAACAAAGAAGCAAGGGATCACAATGAACGTTATCCAATGTTATGCACCCACCGATGATAGCAACGACGATGATAAAGATCAGTTCTACTCGAGGCTGCAATCAATTGTAGCAAAGTGCTCAAGAAAGGACCTCACCATCCTGATGGGAGATCTAAATGCTAAAGTTGGAGTGGACAACACAGGATATGAAGATATAATCGGACGACACGGACTAGGAGAAAGAAATGAAAATGGGGAGAGACTTGCAAACATATGTGCTTTCAACAAATTGGTTATAGGCGGCACAATATTCCCACACAAAGCTACATGGATCTCACCGGACCATACCACAGAGAACCAGATAGATCACATCTGTATCAACAAAAAATTCCGAAGATCAATGGAAGATGTAAGAACCCGGAGAGGAGCTGACATAGCTTCAGATCACCACCTGGTTGTGGCCAAGATGAGACTGAAGCTAAAGAAAGACTGGACAACTGGACAAACAGCACTACAAAGGTTTAATACAGCCTTCCTTCGAGATGCTGACAAGCTCCATGAATTCAAGATAAGTCTCAACAACAGGTTCCAAGCTGTACAGGATCTACTGAAAGAACAAGAAACTACTTTGGAGGACAACTGGAAAGGGATAAAAGAAGCACTAACTTCAACGTGTCAGGAGGTTCTTGGCCCTAAGAAGCATCATCACAAGGAATCGATCTCTCTGGGAACCCTGGACAAAATTCAAGAAAGGAAGAACAAGAGACTAGAAATTAACAACAGCCGAACACGAGCAGAGAAAGTCAAAGCACAAGCAGACTACGCAGAAGCAAACAGGGAAGTGAAGAAAAGCATTAAAGCCGACAAGCAGAAATACATGGGAGAACTAGCAACGACAGCAAAAAAAGCTGCAAGAGAAGGGAATATGAAACAACTATATGATACAACGAAAAAATTGGCAGGGAGATATAGCAAACCAGAGAGACCAGTCAAGGACAAAGAAGGAAAGACAATCACTGAGATTCAAGAACAGAGGAAAAGATGGGCAGAATACTTCGAGGAACTGCTGAATAGACCAGCCCCATTGAATCCACCGAACATCGAAGCAGCCCACACAGACCTTCCAATAGATGTCACTCCACCAACGATCGAAGAAGTCAAGATGGCCATCAGACAAATCAAAAGTGGGAAGGCGGCAGGACCTGACAATATACCAGCAGAAGCACTGAAGTCAGACATTGAAATAACTGCAAACATGCTTCACCTTCTATTCAAAAAGATTTGGGAAGAGGAACAAGTGCCAACGGACTGGAAAGAAGGATATCTCATCAAGATACCAAAGAAAGGAGATCTGAGCAAATGTGAGAACTACAGATGTATCAGTTTGTTATCAGTACCAGGAAAAGTTTTCAACAGAGTGCTGCTGAATCGGATGAAAGACGCAGTAGACGCCGAACTTAGGGATCATCAGGCTGGATTCCGTAAGGATCGGTCGTGCACAGACCAGATTGCGACACTACGGATCATCGTTGAACAATCAGTTGAGTGGAACTCATCACTATACGTCAACTTCATCGACTATGAGAAGGCGTTTGACAGCGTGGACAGGAGAACATTATGGAAACTTCTTCGACACTATGGAGTTCCTGAAAAGATTGTCAACATTATCCAAAACTCATACGATGGATTACAATGCAAAGTGGTGCATGGAGGACAGCTGACAGATGCATTTCCAGTAAGGACTGGAGTCAGACAAGGCTGTCTACTCTCCCCATTCCTCTTCCTTCTAGTGATTTACTGGATTATGAAGAATTTGACATCTGAAGGGAAATACGGAATACAATGGACAGCTCAGAATCAATTAGATGATTTGGACTTCGCAGATGACCTAGCCCTCCTCTCTCATATACACGACCAAATGCAGATGAAGACAGCAAATGTAGCAGCAGCTTCCGCATCGATAGGCCTCCACATTCACAAAGGAAAAAGCAAGATTCTCAAATGCAACACGGAGAACACCAACCCAATCACACTTAACGGCGAAACTCTGGAAGAGGTGGAAACATTCAAGTACCTGAGGAGCATCGTTGATAAACAAGGAGGATCGGATGCAGATGTAAAGGCGAGGATTGGCAAAGCAAGGGCAGCATTTCTACAATTGAAGAACATATGGAACTCAAAATAACTCTCAACCAATTTCAAGGTCAGAATCTTTAATACGAACGTCAAGACAGTCCTACTGTATGGAGCTGAAACGTGGAGAACTACTACGGCCATCATCAGGAAGGTACAAGTATTTATAAACAGTTGTCTACGCAAAATACTCAACATCCATTGGCCGGATACTATCAGCAACAGCGTTTTATGGGAGAGGACAAACCAGCTTCCAGCTGAAGAGGAAATTAGGAAAAGACGTTGGAAGTGGATCGGACATACATTAAGGAAATCACCAATGTGCATCACGACTCAATCCCTAACTTGGAATCCGGAAGAGAAGCGGAAGAGAGGAATGCCAAAGAACACACTAGGCCGGGAAATAGAAGCCGATATGAAAAGGATGAATAACAACTGGAAAGGAAGGCTCAGGACAGAGTTGGATGGAGAATGCTGGTGAGCGGCCTATGCTCCTCGACGAGGGGTAACAGGCGTTAGTAAGTAAGTAAGTAAGTAAGTAAAGTTATAAGCGTTTGATATAACTTACTGTTCCACATTTACAAGATACATAGTAACTAATACTGTTACAATATTCAAGACATTTTTCAGTGTATACAATTCATTGTTGATAAAAGTACATACTAAATTGTAAAACTGACGTACTTTCAAAGTTTATCAGTTATAAATGTACTAAATGATAAGGCTTTATAATAAACAATATTTTACATCATGTTTTAATTTTTGTAATTCCGCAAAAATTACAAATCACCAATGTGCAATACAAGGCAATCCCTAACTTGGAATCCGGAAGGGAAGCGGAAAAGAGGAAGATGAAAGAACACATCACGTCGGGTAATAGAATCAGATATGAAAAGGATGAATAACAACTGGAAAGAATTGAAAAGGATTGTCCAGGACTGAGTTGGATGGGGAATGTTGTTGAGCGGCCTATGCTCCTTCAAGAGAGATAACAGACGTAAGTAAGTTTAATTTTCGTAAATTTTGAATGTTGAATAGTATCGTCATTTGAACGCAACTAGTTGAGTAAGTGGTAAATCTTTTGATATCATTATAAATATGTTCATAGACAGGCACTTGAAAATTTGTAAGCAATTGACAAGTATTAGTATATCAATTATAAACCATTCAGTCTTTTCATATCTTTCTGTTTCCATATCTTCCAGTAGAACATGACTCAGATACAAAAAAAATTTATGAATACAAACAAAGATATAAAAGCTATACAATACCATATCTAGCACAGTAAATACTCAACGAACGGGTTATAAGAACTAACTGACATAAAAGTTTATACTTTTGAACCTGAAGCTTATTCCTTGTTGCAAAGATTCTTGGTTTATCTTTTGACGACTACATTTTATTGTACATGATTCAATTTACATATTTCACGTACTTATGTGTACATAGATTTTCATTAAGTAAACGAAAGTAACAGGAATTTAATGAAATATTGTATGCTGAGATTTACATATTATGCTAAACATATAATTTCGAGAAAAAAACGATTATTCTGATTGTAAGCAAAGATGGATAGTGACTAGCAGTGGAATCCAGGATGCGCGTTTCGTCCTATTCGGGACTCTTCAGCTGGATGTACTTGTATCTCAGAGTTGATGTTCAATCTGAAGCTCGAACCCAGTACCTTTAGTTTCAAACACTATCGCGTTATCCACTCAGTTACTGAGTCCTGATAGTCACTTGCTTGTGCAATGAGGTGAAGTCTAAATTCATTCAGTATTGTTTGTTTGAATCTTCCATTGATGTTTAGGACTGCAATTGATCAATCCCAAATATGACGAAAATCACGTCTTGGGTTCCACTGCTAGCCACTATCCATCTTTGCTATTTGTGCTATATTCATATAGTATATACTTATAATTTTAAATTTGGTAGACAAGTTACACTGGTTTTATTTATCTTCTCTGTAATAATCATTACATCAAAAACATAAGATAGAAATCATATAAAACATAGTATATATATACATTAATATTGTGCTTACGTAATGTTTGAGTTGCCATACCAAGTCGAAAGTCAACTTTCGATTCAACACCTGCCATTTTCCAAGCTGGTATACAATAATCTTTTAAATAAGCATCTGTTATATCTAAGCCTAATACACAACCATCTGAAGGTAATACTTCAGCAATAGACAATGTACTATATCCAGTATAAACTCCTATATATAAAAATATATACAAGACAGTGAATTCTATCATTATTAACTATGAGAGTAAATATGGGTGACTATAAAGTTAAGGTTAGTCAGATTTGTAATTTATAAAAATAGAATTAAATGTTTAACGTAAAATTCATAAATTGAGTTTTATTTATTTTAGTTGTTTGTTTCTAAATAACAAAAAATAAAACATTTTATGGTATCATTGAGGGGGAGGGGTAAGAATAATCAATATCAATTCAGTAAAATATAAAATTTGATTTTCAATATTATTGTGGTGTGGATTACTTATATCCGCATAAGTAGTATATATCGATCGTCGGGCAGAGAATGTATTTCAGTAGAAGATCAATAAGAAGAAAACGAGAATCGGTATGAAAATGCATAAACAATAATAATCAAAGACTATGAACTGAGATTTCCAGAAAGAATGGTCATGATTGAAACAATTGATTGATATGTTTCATAGATGAAAGCATGAGTCAATTGAAGCTAGACCACCGAGGAAAACCTGGAAACACTGGACGGCCGTTTCGTCCTATTATGGGACTCCTCAGCAGTGTGCATCCACGAACCCGCTCTCGCGAGCGAGATTCGAACCCAGGACCTACCAGTCTCAAGCCGAAGCCCTTAAACGATAGACCACTGAGCTGGCATCCAACGGTGTTAATGGTTGCTCAACTTCGTGGATCAGTTGAAGTTAGACATTAACACCGTTGAATGCCGGCTCAGTGGTCTATCGGTTAAGTGCTCTGGCACGAGACTGGTAGATCCTCGGTTCAAAACTTGCGAGACGAGATCGTGGGTACGTACTGCTGAGGAGTCCCACAATGGGACAAAACGGCCATTCAGTGCTTCCAGGTTTTCCATGGTGTTTCAACTTCAATTGACTGAAGATTTCAACTATATACAATTACTAAAATCTCCACAAAAACCCCTTCTGATATTTTTTTATTAATTAAACATATCTGAAGGTTATGTGGTTTGATAACTAACTTCATTATTAATCACGGTTAGTTTTATTGATTGGTTTAGGGAATGTAACGAGAAGCACAAATTCAGGACAAATTTCATCTTCTCATTGTATAATATAATACTTTTCATTTGAAGATAAAAGTGAATTTTTTGAAAATATAACCTAAAGCACTTTATATGTACCAAAACGTGGCATCAGTGCTTGAAGTCACTAACTTCTAGTCTGAGCCATGTTGGTAGATGCAGACTACTTTGTTGGGTTCTACGTGACTATCGTAACCAATGGTTGGAGACTCTATGTGACATGGCTTAGAATCGATCACAATGGCGTCGGTGTATACACTCTTTATCTTCCCTTAAACTTTGAAATTAAAATTGCTTCATACCTGTCTTCCTTTCTGTACTATATCCTTATATACAACCTATCTTTTATATACTACTACCACTAAATTAACTACTTCTATGAATTCGGTGTTGATATTGTTGTTCTCATGAGGTATGGCAACTTGGACCGATGCATAAATGTGCCTGGTTCTACGTTGTAGCTGACTGACTCTGTCATTGGATAATTGTTGAATATATTAGTGTTTTGTATTTATGTTTAAAGTGTGCTAAATTTTCTGGCTATTTATATTTTAGTTTTTTTAAATTACATTCATTTATAGGTGGAAACATGATTAAATGAAGAACGTATTCGTGTTCAAACTTATCTACATATAAGTACACTTCCCAAATTAATTAGATCTTGTGAACATTATTTAATTGGTGAACATATTGATCGGTTAACATCTGTCTTCTCGGATCTTTTCAATGAAGATAGAGAGGAAGGTGAGTTTAGAAAAAAAATTTGTTTTACTGATTAGTGCATTGTTGAACTCAATATCACAAAAAAACGTTAACATTTTACTTACATTTATGTGCATATGTTTGTGCATGTATCCATAACTGTATATAAAACACAATGTTCGAAAGTAATTCAATTTCTTTTTTTATTTTTCTTATCTGAACACGTAAATATTGGTACAAAGGGGCCCCAGATCTATATGTGCCGCACAAATCTCATTTGATTTTTGTGAGGGCTGTGATAATGCCCATATGCCCAAACTGAAGCAGTTGGTTTTCTTAGGGGGCCACACTTGGAGCCTTTGACCTAAAAGTCTGATCCACAAGGCAATGGAGCATCGTGAGGAGATGCAGTCCCATGGTAGCCGGTGATCCTTGTTCCTTCCTATACTATATCCTTATATACAACCTATCTTTCATATACTACCACCACTAAATTAACTATTTCTATGAATACGGTGTTGATCTTGTTGTGCTAACGAGGTATGGCAACTTGTACCGATGCATAAATGTGTCTGGTCCTATGTTGTAGCTGACTGACTGACTGACTATATGTACACAGTATTTCGCAACAGCATTTCAGATGGAATAAGATAATATCCATTTTATCTTCAACTACATCTATTATTGTCTTTAAAAGACAGCTAACTCAAAAGATGTTATCTAAATCTCAAAAGTACACTAATTTTGAAGATATTTGTAAATATTGGAGGTGTTGTGTTCTCTTAAATGAATACTTTATTTGCTAAGCCTCAATATTCCCTCTTGGAAAGATTATCAAGAGGTAAAACAAAGAAAAGAAAGCTATTGAAATCTCTCCATGATTGATAAGTCGCCTGTTCAATATACCTGGAATTAGATTAACTTTTTCATAACTGTGTCATAATCATTTATTTGTTTGTTCTAATTGTTTTCCATCTTCACTTGATCTCTTACATCACAGTTCTTATTCCGTTTTCTTATTGACTAGATAGATTTGATGGATTTCAATATCCTTACTTGCTTGAATGGAGTGACAGGATTTTAAAAACTTGCAGGCATTTTTGTGTTTTCCCTGTCCAGGGTTTCGATAATTTTCCAGGTGAACTCATATCTATCGTTATCCGCAGACATTAACATAAGAGAATTTCTGTCGACACTTTTAACGGATAACTGGTGCTCATGTAAGCGTACATGAAAAGGGCGGACACTTTATCCTATATAGTTTTTGTTGCAGATGGTGAGATCTAATTTTTTTATTTCTTTTCATCTGTCGTGATGCTTTTAGTATGTGCAGCAGTGATCCCAAAACATTCTTGAGTTTGTAGGCTACGCTTACCCCTAATGGCTTTAATAATCCGTTTGTGATCTTGAAGACATTGTTTACATCAAGTAAACTTATCCGTTTGCTTATTGTTGCTACTGATTTTGTGTTCTACAGTCTGTTTAACAGACATTTCTAGGTAAATTTTTGTGAGGAACCTTTTTTTTTGTAAAATACTTCCATTGAGTACCTCGTCTCCTTTCTCCATGTAATCTCTGTGCTAAAATACGTCTTCAGACTTTTGAATAAGGTTTGTATACAGCTGATTTTATGAATTATTGAATCGTTGTTATTGGCTGTAATTGAGTATTTCATCAATATGGACAGACTTTCAATACAATTGAGTCTTAACTTTTCTCACATTAGTTCTGGTGATGGGTTACTACATTATGGTAGCATTTTGTTTGGTTCTATATCTTAGTTGAGTTTTATGTCATCAAGGATGATGCTAATCAAAATATCATTATTTGTAACTGATTACATTTGATGGTGACAGCTAGTTTGTTTACATAACTAATCCAATTATTTCCTTTCATCATTGGCCACCAACACCTAAATTAATCGCAAAAGCAGTTATGTAGCGGCCAGAAATTATAGTCGCAGTCATAAATCCTAACGATGTCGATACCGACACTAGGTGTTGCATCATACAGGCCCTTATTATTAATATTATTATTTAAACATAAATATTGGTACAAGGAAGCACCAGATAGATATGTGCCGCACAAATCTCTTTCGATTTGCTTGAAGGCTGTGATACTGCCTAGGTGCCCGAACTGAAGCAGGTGGATTTTTTAGGGGACGACACCCGGAGCCTATGACCTGAGGATCTGATCCACAAGACAGTGGAGCATCGTGAGGAGATGCAGTCCCATGGTAGCCGGTGACCAACAACAGGTTCATACGCCATTTGTCCCTTCACGATACTGGAGCCCATGTGGACCATTCGTTTGGAATGAGGGTTTTCCAACTCCCCTAGGTGGACTTTCCGTGTCCACCAACCCGGTTAAAGCGCCGGACATTCGCTTTTCGTCCTCTCACTTTCGTAAACAACACCCCCGCCACGAGAAGGCAGTGAGTAGGACTTCCCTGATAGAGGCTATATATTCGCTGGCCATGTGAGAGCATTTCGAGAGGGAGAGTGGACTCTCCCCACTCTCAACCATACCATGGCATTTGGGGGGGGTCTTAGTTGTTCTCGACAAGCTTGACAACACTAAGTCATGGAATCTTTGATATTATCTGTATACAGAGAATAGGCATACATAGGACGCTTATAAATAATGAATAACTTATCGACATATAAAAACAATACAATAAAGAGATATTCGAAGAAATATTTCCCAAGGATAGATAGGATATATATTTCTCGACAATGATGTAAAAACTACCACTAGAAAAGATCTAGCCATCAAAATGAGTACATATCATAAAAATATTTACGATACATACATATAATTAGATATCGTTGGCCATGGTGACACTTGAGGAGGAAACCGAAAGAGGAAGTTTAGTGTTGAAAGTCAAGGTAGAAGGAATAGTAGGAATTGAAGGAGATCGATTATGAATACAGTGGTCTTGAGTGCTGTTAGAGGTATGAGGGCAGTTATCACTTCCCGGCTGCCCACACCGTGAACGGGTTCTTCTAGAGGTACCTGAAAAGGAAATTGGGTTGAAGGTGATCTTAGTAACCTGAGAGCGTGACCACAGTGCTCGAGGAACAACTGCTTGAGGCCGGTCACGCACGGCCTTTTTGTGGGGGATTTTTGACGTGTTAGCTCCGTTTTTCAAAGGACCTTACAACCGGAGACGGATAACCGTGGGATAAGGCGAGGTGTGCATTTTCAGGGTCGACCTTTTCTAAACCCACCCCTCCTTGTGGGAAGGCAGCATCGCTGTTATGCTGATTGTCAGAAGGAAACACCTTACTGCTGCCACACCTCTGTATAGTCAGCAGTACGACTTCGCCTTCTGACCATGGGATTGCTGCTTTTAGTCTTATCGCTCTTCAACCGACCTGCCTGGCATGGTGGGACCTTGAGGAACGATTGTCCCAGCCAGTATAGCTCGATTGGTTCGTCACGATAGGCGAGCCCGACCACCACGTCAAGGTAGCAGCAACGGTCGAGATAATTAGATATAAATAAATACCTACCAATGTCAATTGTCTTTCTGGCATTTATTGCATAGCACATATTAGATAAAAGTTGCATTTCAGGACTTGATATTAAGTAATATGCTTTAGGATCATCTTTTGTTTTCTAAAAAAAATTAATGATAGTAATAATGATGATGATGATTACCTTTAAAAGCCATTTTTGAGCATCTGATAAACGTAAAGAATGGTCATTTATGTACCGGTCAATTTTACTATCATTCTGCATACAACCAAATTCTGTAACTACTTTGTGTGTAATAGTTGATGTCTCAATCATTTGATAAGCAGGAATTCTCACTGGTTTGAACGAAGGAGATCTACAAAAACATCAAAGTGATTACGTGTATTAAGTAAAAAACTCATAGAAACCACAACAGTTCAATCAATCACATGGTACATTAACACAGAAATTCATTAGGTAACAAGAAATGAATCAATGATAAATGTTACTAATGTTAAGATCTCAAAAAACGTAAGTGGTGAACACATACATTCCAATTTACAAACCATTTCTAGTCAGTTATCCCCAATAGGTATGGAAAAACATTTGTAAAGGAGGCTGAACTTGACCACCGCTTAACTGTATAGCCTGACAGAGTATTTGGACTCAGCTAATGTCGAGTTATTTATTGCCGGCATCCACTTCAGATGAAGTTATACTTGTATATCGACAGTAACTCGTGATGTATAATACAGGTCTTTGATAGTAGACCGACTGGATAAGATTATGTTTACCAGTTATATTATTTGTCTTCCAGGTATTTTAAACCAATTTCACAGTTGTATTCTTCTGATACTTGATCAAGTAGAACATGTGAAGGCGAGATTATAATTTATGGTCTAAGATTTTGGCGCGAGGTTAACTCACGCATTTGGCTAAATATCATTTCGGCATTATAGTTGATGTCAGTTTGTGATGTAAACATTAAATATAACTCCTAACCCTAACGTTCAACTGTAAATCCTAATCCTAATTCCTCAAACTTATTTATAACCCTCATTTAACCCTTGTAAGTAGATGGACATATTGAAAGTCAGTTGGCGTTTCTCAAAAGATGTCCATAAATTATAGTCACATTCATATAACTCGATGATAAAATCTGCCATGTCATATGGGAACATATTTATCTGTAAACAAAATATCTGCAACTCATTTGTGGCACACTATATACGGTTGTGAAGGATACCATATACAATTGAAAATTAGAGTTACATTGGTTTATGATATATTAATGACAATGATAATTTGAGACATCTATTTACTCATCAAAAATAAACTTTTGATTCGTTATTCAACAAATCAACACAAATTAAGTTTAAAAATTATGTTTAATGTCATACCCTATATCTTCTTCCTCTTCTGATGATGATTTCCTGTCAAGCCTCAAACAACTATCTCACATTTAATAACTATGTTGTCCTTATAACCTTGTTATTCCCCTAAACCGTTTGAAGCCGGTGACGAGAAGTCAAAGAATGGAGGAATATGTTCGTTCTACTCAGCAGATCTTGTTATTCAAGCTTTCTTTACAAACAATAAAGCAACTATTTGTATGAACTGTCTGTCAGAAACTAGGCAAAGTAACCCAATCTCGTATATCGTAAGTATAAGTCTCAATCACATATTTGTTCACAAGCAAATGTATGAGTTCATATGCGAACAAAATACAATTTTATTTTTAGAAGTGACATAAGATTCCGATTGTAATTTTCACCAATAACACACCTTAACAGGAGAATCACTAAAATCCAGAAAACCAAGTGACATAGAGATTTCAAAGCATCTTTAACTTGACATCCTATGAGTGTGAAGTGCTCAGAATTCGCTAATTAAGACAAAGTACTTTTTAAGCTTTATTTTATCCTTTTCTAACGGTGGCAGTTTATGGTAGGAATTAATTAAAAAGTTCACAAAGTTCTCTACAAGATCATTTCACTTAAAAAAAGTTACAACTAAATTGGATATTGTAAAGTATTGTGGATTAGTTTAAAATATATAGATGAACAAAACATATTGAACTATAAATGAATGTTTTTCTATATTTAGAAAATGTTTACCATCATTAAAATAAAGCCATTCTAGTAGATGACCTATATATTTAATGGCAAAGTAATCTAATAAAAAATATATTTAGTAATATAAGTTTATAAAACTGTTAATAGTGCAGTTGGACAGTGAATAAACTATGTGGATTTATTAAAATAACTAAATCATATGAGTTGAAATCATGAGTCATTTGAAGCTAGACCATCATGGAAAACCTAGAGGCATTGGATGGCCGTTTCGTCCTATTATGGGACTCCTCAGTGGCAGTGCGCATCCACGATTCCGCCTCGCAAGAATCGAACCTAGGACCTATCAGTCTCGTGCCAGAGCACTTAACCGATAGACCACTGAGCCTGCATTCAACGGTGTTAATGTCTAACTTCAACCAATCCACGAAAATGAGCAACCATTCACCAATGTCATCAGTGAGTTGATATCTCTACAACAGACTTGATTGTACTCCAATGGTTACTGCTTCTCACTAGAACTCCAGGAATACCTCATGGAGCCAGTCACTATATGAATTGTTTGAATTATTTAAATGTCTACAACCTTACACCTTTAAAAGATTAAAACATTTTATTTACAAAAGCATGCAGTGCATCAAATGATGTTTGACTAACTTTAACTTCAAAATTTATTAAGCATGATTTACTACTATTATTATCAAGATATTTGAAACTGATAGAGAAAAACATGAGATTGTCCTACAACGATATTATTCATTAATCAATCTGAATGATGAAAATGAATCAAATCACGTTGTTCCTAGTTGGATTTCAAATAAATTAGATTTCTATGCATTCTGTCTTATAAATTAGTCATCTTTCTAGATTAAACCAATTCTCATTAATTATTTAGTAGTTGCTCACAATAAGGCAAGTCAGATATTTGAAAATGTTTGATAGGACTTCAGGCTGATTAAAAGTTGCTCGTGGACTAGTAATTGGTCTGTTAAAAGCAAGTTCAAATTTCTAGTGATTTATTCGTTAAAAAAGGTTTTAGTCCATTACACATCACAATCAACTTTCTTGACTATGAAAAAGCATTTGACAGTGTGGATAAAACTCCATGGCACCTTCGACACTATGGTGTACCCGAGAAAATTGCCAACATCAACTGGAATTCATACGACGAACTACACTACAAAGTTGTACGTGGATGGGAGTTAACAGAAGCATTTCAAGTGAGAACCGGTGTTCGGCAAGGCTGCTTGCTCTCAACTTTTCTCTTTATCTGAGTGGTTGACTGGATTATGAAGACTTCTTTATTTGAGGGGAAGCGCGGAATACAATGGACAGATTGGATGCCACTAGACGATTTTTATTTCGTATTTGACCTAGCTCTTCTGTCCCACACACACCGACAAATGCAGGTCAAAAAACAGTGTAGCAGCATCCCTTGCATCAGCGGGCCTCAAAATACAAGACGAAAAAACCAAGATCTTAAAATACAACACAGAGAGCAACACAATCATACTTGGTGGAGAAACTTTGGAGGAGATGTGAACTTTCACGTACCCCGGGTAGCAGCATAATCGATGAACGAGGAGGATCGGATGCTGATGTAAAGGTGAGGATTGCCAAAGCAAGGGTAGTATTCCAACAGTTGAAGAACATATGGGACTCAAAACAATCGTCAACCAATATCAAAGTCACAACCTTCAGTACGAACGTCCGAACAGTTCTACTGCACGGAACTGGAACTTACAGAACTACCACAACCATCACCAAGAAAGTTCAAGTATTTATAAACAATTGTTCACACAAGATAATGAATGCCTGTTCACCGGATACCATCAGCAACAACCTACTGTGAATGAGAACAAATCAGCTTCCAGCTGAAGATAAAATTAGGAAAAGACGTTAAAGTTGGATAGGATGCACACTACGGAAACCACCAAACTGCATCACTAGACAAGCGCTGACTTGAAATCCTGAAAGCAAACGAAAAGAGGAAGACCAAAGAACAAACTTAGTCTGTAGTCGGAAGCTAACATGAAAGGGATGAATAACAACTGGAAGAATCTGGGAGGAATTGCCCAGGACAGAGTTCAATGGCGAAAGCTGGTGGGCAGCCTATGCTCCTCCACGATAAGTAGTTACAAGTGTTCAAATAATTTGACAGTGAAGCATATATTTGAGAAAAGACATGGAGAAAAAAGAGAAAATGGCATGGAAATAAAAATAGGTAAACTCGTGTATGTGAACTGTACTCAATGATAATTGGTACTTTAGATTTACGCTTAATCAGCTAAATATGGTTCAACTAAAAAACACTAAGAAGGTTTCTAGGAACAAAATTTTGTCTCAATACAATTCATAATGTTGTGCCCCACTAGTTTTGTCACGAAGATCCTATTGTTTGGTCAAAAATGTTGGAGATAGTAGTGCCAATGTTACTGCGACGAGATATCTATTTTAGATTGAAGTCCAAATCTGTCCTATTTAAAATTCATATTGAGGTAGTTTTAATTTGAACAGCTTTCTTAGATCCTCCGTCACTCAATAAGTAGTGAAAAAAAAAGTGAATTCAAAACTAGAGTCATTTATCCACATTCATTTTCCACTGTCAAGAATAACAATCATAAAAACAATTAACTAAGTTCACTTGCTTTTCAATGACGTTGTTCAGAAGGGAGGCCAATATATTATTATATATTGAAGTGGTCTTATATTATATTCGTATTTAATTCAAGTTTTGATGACTTTCGACTGAGTAAAAAGGGAATTAATTGGATAAATATTAACAATCAGTTTGGCACTAGCATTGGCATTATAGTGACACGTTAAGCAGGGATAGCGCATAAGTTGGTGTCTTCAAACAGTTCAACCAAGTAGGCTTCGCTTGCTTCCTGAAGAGAAGACACAGCTGAGCTCTGGAATGTCAGATCGGTCTTGAAGTCCTGGGCAATTTCTAAGACCAAATGCTGGAATGAAAGTTTACGAATAAGAAGTTTGGCACTCTTCCGATAACAACAGATTTCTCGGAGGGCAACGGTTCCGGATCTGTATCTGTGTGGCTTCTTCACGCCCCCCGTAGCCGGTGCGCATTTCCGCGCAGCCACGGTGACCAGCTGCTTACGAAGTACCTTACCTTCCTTTGACTTGCGAGCTGTTTGCTTTGTTCGTACCATACCAAAACACCAAGAGACGATGACATTGTCACATTAAATTTCAGCTGGTATATAAATACACATATGCATATATTTCATGGTACCAATATAGGACAGATTAGCTGGTAAAATTGAACAATAACATGACAATTCCACAAGTCAGTATCAAAATAGTTTGGAATGATGAAATGAGTAGTTTGAAGGAGTATAAAGTAACCATAACAGACAAGGTTTTTGTTTATAAGACAACTAAATAACTAAGTTTAAAATTTGGCAAATAATACCGTTTCCTATATGGGTGTAGACACAATAATTTTATTAACGACATAAATGTTAATTTCAGTTTTGTGGAAATTAATAGACTAATGTACGTCAGAAGAAAAAGACAAAAAATGACTGTTGACACCTCTTCTAGGCATAAATAAACGATTAGATTTGCATATCACTATGTCAACCATTTAAAACAATATGCCTATTTTCTTCTGCATATATCTTTAGATATTTCACTTACCTATCGCTAAAGGTTGTGAAGTCTACGGATGAATTACACAGTATCAAGTTAAATAAGTTTCATATGATTGAAAAAGTAATTCTCTCAAGGTAAGAATTGGATCAATCAAACAAAACTACGGGCCAAAATGGTTCTTGAAGGAATGGAAGAAGAAGATTTCGCTGAGCAGTATTCCGTATCCAGTAGCAGTGGATCACCAGTTCCCACAGATGGAAACTTTGGTGTATTTACCGATTACAAAAACGAAAAATATTAGTAAATTACTGTGATATACTGTCTTCAGTTCTCATGAATATGTCAAGTTTCCTCTTCACAGACTCCTAAGCAGTCACTTGCACGAGCTCGACTTGCAGCGAATTAAAGTATCCTACTACTCTTAAGGAGTAGGTGTGTACAGTTCGTACTGCTGTGTTGCATGTCCAGTTTCTGAGTGTATAGTGACATTTATGTCTAGTGATTTTTTGTAACAACAAATTAAAGGTCACATATTTTTCCTAGTTGTCACACTTTTTATGTAATCACACTCATATTCGATATTTATTGTTTTTCTGTATCAATGGTAAAGAAACGAATACTTTTGTTTGGTTATATATATCACTACTTCACTACCGCGCTTCTTAAAATATAAGCGTTGTATCCGCCGTCTATTCTTCTGCTTTAACGGCCACGGCCTTTGATTGAAGATTATAATAGTATTATAACATCTTTTTAGACCATTCCACACTACGTTGGTGTTTTGGCCCGGATCATTACTGAATAATACTACTGGATCTAATCTTCTCCATTTTGCTGTTGGTGCCATCACGTGCAGAGGAATCTTTGTTAACCAAGTGAACTTATTTGTGGTTGTTATCTCAGAAAGCAGCTTACAAGTAACATTCATTTCATAACACTGTTACCATTTTGTTGCTCAATATACCTTTTTATAATTTAACTGTAATTTGTTACCTTTTGCGTTGATCATAGACACACGCTTAGGTTCATAGTGTTAATTCTTTTGGTATATTGTTGGTAACGTTGCGAATTGTTATATTTCAACTAAGCTCTTTTGCTGAGGTCCACCACAAATCTGGTGAGCCCTTATATTTCTCTTTGAAACTGTAATTTTGAGTTCACTTATAAACATTACGGCGCTGATTTTTCTCTTGGTAGTGATTATTTTTTGTATATTTGTAATGTTTTCATCCGAGTCTGAAGATATCAGCCAGGACAACGACCGAACAGAGTTACACGCTTTAAACGTAATAAATGTACCTCCATTCAGTAGAGTAAACCCTCGTATATGGTTTGCACAGGTGGAAGTGCAGTTTCAGCGTCGTAACATTCGTTCACAACAATCGAAATACTCCTTTGTGCTTGGAATTCTACCAACTGAGGTAGCATCTGAGGTATCAGACCTCATAGACAACGTCCCTGTATCAATTGCCTACGACCAGTTGAAGCAGGCTATTATTCAACGTACCTCACTCTCGGATGAAAAGAAGCTACAACAATTGCTACATGAGTGCGAGCTAGGTGACAAGTCACCTTCCCAATTATTACGCCACATGAGGCAGTTGGCTGAACCTTTTAAGGTTGGTGATATATTTCTGAGAGAAATTTGGCTACAACGTTTACCAACAGTAGTCCGGCAAATTCTCTGCGCTTCTAACCAATCTTTAGACTTAGAGGTTCTAGCTAGCATGGCTGACAAAGTTCTAGAAGTAACGCCAGGACAACACCCTACGTGCAGGCGATATCACAAACTTCGAGTGACACTAAAACTCCGAACATAGCTTCCTTAACAGCTGAATTAAGTGATTTACGTACACAGCACGCACGCACAGTCGCCAGTCTTGAAAACAAGCTAGATACATTACAATCAATTATTTCCAATCTCACATCTCGAAAGTCTCGCTCTAGTTTTCAGGGGACCAAGAACCGAGATAACTCAAGAACAAAGAAAAATGATAACATCTGTTGGTACCATAGAAAGTATGGTGACAAAGCTAGAAAGTGTGTTATGTCCTGTAAATTTTTCAGGTCATTTTCCTCGCCAAAAGATGTCAACCAGGCAGTAGTACCGACAAATGTTACAGGTCATGCTACTAGTCACCTTTTCCACGTTCTCGACAAAACTTCAGGCTACAAATTCTTAGTAGACACTGGAGCCGAAGTCAGTGTTATCCCAGTTACGCTAGCCAAGAAACCTATTTCTAAATGTGGAAAATATTCATTGAGAGCAGCTAATAAAACTGAAATAAAAACATTTGGAGAACAACTCTTAACATTAGATTTGGGAATTAGACGTCGACTAAACTGGGTGTTTATTATTGCTGATGTCCGTCACCCTATATTAGGTGCAGACTTTTTAAGCTCCTATAACTTATTAGTCGATGTTAAAAAACGAAAACTTATCGATTCGTGCACAAAACTCCAAGTTCATGGAATTCAGTCACACTATCATATACATAGTATTAAAATCAACACTCCAGTGAACGACATATTCGCCAATATTTTATCTAAATTTCCAAAGTTAACGAAACCAGATTACAGTGAAAACACCATCCAGCATTCTGTGGTGCATCGAATTATCACCAAAAACCAACCAGTTTCGGCACGTCCTCGTCGTTTACCACCGGACAAACTTGCAGTTGCAAAGGCCGAATTTGAGCACATGATGCGACTAGGAATAATACGTCCGTCGAGTAGCTCCTGGGCATCCCCACTCCACATGGTACCTAAGAGGGATCAGGATTGGCGACCTTGTGGTGATTATCGATCACTGAATAACTTAACTTTACCAGATCGTTACCCCATTCCCCATTTACACGATTTTTCACTTACGTTACACGGTAAACAAATTTTTTCTAAAATCGACCTTGTGCGAGCGTACCATCAAATTCCAGTAGCATCTGAAGATGTAGCGAAAACAGCCATCATTACCCCATTTGGTTTGTTTGAATTTCTGAGAATGCCATTTGGATTAAAGAACGCCGCACAGACTTTTCAACGATTTATGGATGAAGTCACTAAAGGCCTAGATTTTGTTTTCGTGTATATCGACGATGTATTAATAGCCAGTAGTTCATTTCACGAACATATTGATCACCTACATCAACTTTTCGAAAGATTTCAGAGATTCGGTATAGTCATTAACCCATCCAAATGCATTTTCGGAGTCGAAGGCTTAGAATTTTTGGGTCACTCGATTGACAAACATGGTATCAAACCCTTAGACGCAAAAATTGAAGCTATCAAAAATTTTCCAGAGCCAGACTCACTAAATAAACTTCGACGTTTCTTGGGTATGTTTAATTTTTATCGTCGGTTTATCCCTCACTGCTCAGATATTCTACAACCCCTAACGGAGGCATTAAAAGGCAAAGCCAAAAAGTTCACATTATCCTCCGAAGCGAAAGATGCCTTTACTGCTGCTAAAACAGCGATTGCTTCTACCACCATGCTGACCTACCTCAGTCCTGATCCAGAAGCAACACTAATTTTGTGTACAGACGCTTCTCAGGCAGCGGTAGGCGCGGTGCTGCAACAAAGAGTAAATAATGAAGTCAAGCCACTTGCTTTCTTTTCGAAGAAGCTAGAACCGGCCCAAACCCGATACAGCACGTTTGGCAGAGAATTATTAACTGTTTATCTAGCAGTTAAACATTTTAAACACTTACTACAAGGTAGAGATTTCGTAATCTTCACTGATCACAAACCTTTGACTTACGCTTTCAATGCCAAAAGTGATCGTTATTCTCCTAGAGAAACTCGACAGTTAGATTACATTTCTCAATTTTCTACCAACATACAGTTCATAAAAGGTGAGTCAAATGTTGTGGCAGATACTTTGTCACGTTTCGACATTGATGCTATTTGCTCCACTAAAGGAATTGATTTGTTGGACATTGCACGCTTACAGGTTGATGATCCTGATCTTGCGGCTTGTAAACAAAATTCGAGTCTAGTATTAAAAAGTATTCCAATAGCACATTCTGATTCTACTATAATTTGTGATACTTCAACTGGAATACCCAGGCCATTTGTGCCAATAGCGTGCAGAAAAAAAGTTTTTGATTGTCTTCATTCATTATCTCACCCAGGAGTTCGAGCTACTGCGAGACTGATCGGAGAAAGATTTGTCTGGCCAAAAATGAACTCAAACATAAAGGAATGGACCAGAAATTGTTTACAATGCCAGCGTAGCAAAGTTCACAGACATACGATTACAACACCGTCAACATTCAATCTACCTGACCATCGTTTTCAGCATGTCCACGTTGATTTAGTTGGTCCTTTACCCCCATCTAACGGATTTACTTACATCTTTACTGCAGTGGACCGTTTTACCAGATGGCCAATAGCATGTCCAATAAAAGATATCTCAGCAGAAAATATTGCTGCCGTGTTTCTTGACAGATGGATTTCTAATTTCGGTGTACCTTCTACCGTTACTTCCGACAGAGGTTCACAATTCCAATCGCACCTCTTCAACGAATTTACGCGCATCTTGGGAATCCATCACATCACTACAACTGCATACCATCCAGCAGCAAATGGACTAGTGGAACGATTCCACAGACAACTCAAAAGCTCATTGATGGTACAGCCTGATGTAACTAGATGGAGTGAATTCCTACCTCTCATATTATTGAGCATACGCTCGACAATTAAGGAAGATCTACAATGTACACCTGCTCAGCTAGTTTATGGAACTAATTTAACCTTACCTGGTCAACTAGTCACGCATAAAGGCACTTCTGTATGTACAGACCCCTCCTCCTTTTGCGAAAGACTAATGAGCCACATGAATAGCATTAAGCCTGTTGCACCTCGACCAGTCTTCTTAAAAGAGCAAATTAGCAAGCATCTAAACACATGTAAATTTGTGTTTGTCCGTGTCGACTCAGTAAGACGTCCTTTACAACACCCTTATGAAGGACCTTATGAAGTAGTAGACAGGCAAGCAAAATATTTCACAATCAAGAAGAATGGGAAAAAGGAAACAGTTGCAATTGACAGGTTAAAACCCGCTTTCATAGAGTCTGAAACACATAACAGTCGAAAGCCTTCTAAAGACAACAACTGCACAACACAGCTTCCTGCGTTTCCAGCTAATTCTTCACCTACTTCTGTGAAATCGCCAACTCAAACAATGTGTGATGCTAATGTTATGGCTCCTACAAACTTAGTTCCTAATTCCACTACCTTACCTATTTCAAAAACCACTCGTACAGGAAGACAGGTACATATTCCTAAACGTTATGCTGAATTCATTACTAAATCTTCCTTCGATCATATTCTGTAATGTGAGTAAATACCCATATGCTAAGAGTTACTCATGACATATTTTAACTATAAGTGTATGCGTTTTACATGACGCTCATTATTAACTGTAACGTTACCCAACTTAGTTGTATTTGTTCATTTTATAATTGATCGTTTACATTGATATATACAGATATTAAAAATTTTTCCGGTAATATATCAATTTAATTAACGTTATTATAAATAACACTATTATTTTTATTATACGTTCAATTATCTTTGTTAAATATTTTTAAATACATTAAAAATAATAAACACAAAATTTTTTTTTATAACCACACAAAAACATTTTGTTTCATAAGTATATATACTTATTAAAATTTTTTTTGATAACCTCTATTTATTCTTTCCTTTGTTGTGTAATAATTTTTTTTCCCTCCAAAGCACTTAGAATTTACGTCGGGCATACCACCACCGACGCATGCCCTAGGGGGGGAGTTATATAGTGACATTTATGTCTAGTGATTTTTTGTAACAACAAATTAAAGGTCACATATTTTTCCTAGTTGTCACACTTTTTATGTAATCACACTCATATTCGATATTTATTGTTTTTCTGTATCAATGGTAAAGAAACGAATACTTTTGTTTGGTTATATATATCACTACTTCACTACCGCGCTTCTTAAAATATAAGCGTTGTATCCGCCGTCTATTCTTCTGCTTTAACGGCCACGGCCTTTGATTGAAGATTATAATAGTATTATAACATCTTTTTAGACCATTCCACACTACGTTGGTGTTTTGGCCCGGATCATTACTGAATAATACTACTGGATCTAATCTTCTCCATTTTGCTGTTGGTGCCATCACGTGCAGAGGAATCTTTGTTAACCAAGTGAACTTATTTGTGGTTGTTATCTCAGAAAGCAGCTTACAAGTAACATTCATTTCATAACACTGTTACCATTTTGTTGCTCAATATACCTTTTTATAATTTAACTGTAATTTGTTACCTTTTGCGTTGATCATAGACACACGCTTAGGTTCATAGTGTTAATTCTTTTGGTATATTGTTGGTAACGTTGCGAATTGTTATATTTCAACTAAGCTCTTTTGCTGAGGTCCACCACAAGTGTTACCCATGACTTTTGTGTTGAAGCTGATCCTCAGTAGGTATTTAAGCGGATTTCCAAAAGTGTTTGGGCTTCTGTGGGTCATTAGAATGTCACCTCTGAGAAACTAATGCTCAAATGGGTAAAAGTTCAGTGATTTGAGGTGCCCTTCATAAGTCTTGAATTTGACTGCCCGAACTGATCAGGTAGAAATTTCTACTGTCGAACTGGTAAAAAATGAGCTTCAACATCACTAGTGCAGGGTTTGATCGACAGGCGTTTTTTCGTAGTTAGGATAAGACTTCATATCACGAAGTGGCAAAACTCCAGGATAATGATTAACTTGGGATGTCTCTAGAAGGGAGTTACTCAAGTTGTACGTGTTGTCTGCAACATGTCTCGGATGGATTACATTACACTTTGAATTGTTAAAGGTGATTCCATTGTTGTCCATCCAACTCTGAATTCGAGTCAGATAGTTCCGAATTGCAGACTAATCATCTTGGTTGCATACTTCTCTCCAGAGTTTCATATCGTCAGCGAAATGTGCTAATGTCAGATGATATTCTAAGAGGAACATCGTTTATATGAAATTAAGAAGAGAAGAGGTCATGGTACTGAATCGTGGTGCATGCCACTAGGGCATCCTTTAGCCTGAGAAAAAGCTGAGTTTACCCTTATCTTAAAAACCTGATTATTTAGATATGAGATAAGTCACTTTATTTATGTGATTCGATACCTAATTGTTTGATCATAATATTTAGAAATACATGGTTGGCACTGTCGAATCCTTTCAAGACTTTAAGGTATATTACGTCAAACTTCCTCTACGATCAAATATGGCTGTTCATTTGTCCACTGTGATTAACAGACTGATTACACAAGAATGAAATAAGGCTGTTGAAGTGAAAAAATTTCATGGATAGTAATTAGTCCCGCAGATCATCTCATTTCACGAACTCCATAATTTTGGAGGGTGATTTGAAAAGTGCTGCCGACCAGTAGCTTGAAGGTTGGTTGCGTCGACCTCTTGCAAGGTCGTTGTAATGTGAGCGAGCTTCCGACTTTCTGGTACCGAATCAAATATGACAACATCACACTGAGTGGACATGTCAAGATTGAGGTCGGTTCGCTCAGTGTAACAGAATGGACCATATTCGGACCAAGAGAAATGTTTTGTCTAGATGCTTCAGTCTCTGGTACACCAAGTCAGCACTCAGGTTCAATTCTGTGAGTCCTGTTGTGTATCAAGTGAAGCTCTCGTCGATGTAGCCAGTATGCACCGGTTGAAATATCTGAAAGTACTGTTACTCCGAGCAAAATACTCAACATCCACTGGCCGGATACTATCAGCAACAGCGTTTTATGGGAGAGGACAAACCAGCTTCCAGCTGAAGAGGAAATTAGGAAAAGACGTTGGAAGTGGATCGGACATACATTGAGGAAATCACCAATGTGCATCATGACTCAATCCCTAACTTGGAATCCTGAAGGGTAGCGGAAAAGAGGAAGGCCAAAGAACATACTACGCCGGGAAATAGAAGCCGATATGAAAAGGCTGAATAGTAACTGGAAAGAACTGGAAAGGAAGGCTCAGGACAGAGTTGGATGGAGAATGCTGGTGAGCGGCCTATGCTCCTCCACAAGGGGTAACAGGCGTAAGTAAGTAAGTACTGTTCCTCCGAATTGTCAGCGACATCACCGACGTTTTTGGTTGGACGTTTAGGACCAGAAGATGAGAGACTCCGGTTTGTGCTTGTCGAGGAGCAGTTACATGACGTAATATGCCTTTCGGTATGAGAACAAATTCATAGATTCACTTTATCTGATACTGAAGCCTGTCTTCTCTGATAGCCTTTACGCATTGGTTCATTGCTCAATTGAACTAATTATGCGTACTGTTGCCACTATTTCGTTTGTATTCAGCCCATTAGTTGACTTTGCGTCCCAGCAATCGGTCGGGGCGATTCTTTATGGCTGTAGGTTGCTTGTAATTTTTGAAGACCGTTTGTGGGAAAGACAGTTTGGTAGCACGAAATATCTTGTGGGTTAAGGACTGCTAAGGAGCGTTCATTTCAAGTTGAGGATGTGTTTCCCTCTCCACCTACTGCACATTGACCATTAAAATTGAAATGCCTAAACTTTTAAAATTCTAACACACGCTTTTAGAAGGATGTTTCAGTTCAGTTTTGCAGGTAAAAGTGAAGGCCTGCCCATGCTCCTGGTCCATGATGTGTGATGTTCGTGTTTCGAAAGTGTACTTACCAGATGAGTGATTACTTCAATCCATTTGTTTCTGTAGGGTAGAACATGTTAAATTACGGCTCATTATGTCAAGCGGGATGCCACGAACCAACGGTATTGGTGCTGATTTATTTATGCGAAAAACCTCTTTAAATGGTGTTTAAAACACTGAATTGGTTTAGCTCCCTACCGAGTAATCCTATTACAAGCAAAACAGACAATTCGCTAAAAACGAAGTCCGCCCCATACCCTATAAAGTCTAACAACAAGAAATAGGTTTCAAATAACTTCGACAAAGATGAGAGACAGCCATTTGTATCAGAATACTGTTTCCAGCACTCTATTTCACAATTACACGTAAGCCCATACTCTTAGTTTCTTTCTGAACCATCTTCATTCATATAATTCCTTATCCACTCATACTTTTTCTACACTTATTTTCTCTAACACATAAGAATGCTCATGCTTACATTAAAAGCAGAGAAATAGACTAAGTAGTTATACCTTAACTATTCCTACATGAATATTGTGTGCTCTGCTGCTCAACCTCCCTTTTTCTTACACCTTTTTCCAGACCCCTTGAGATATGTCACCGAAAACAGATTTAGAGCGAGTGACTTCTTCTTGCACCATTATTAAAGCCTCAGATATTCCAGAGGGATATAAGGTTGAAGCTCCTAAAAGCCTCCAACTTCACGTAGTTCTATTCTTGACCATCAGTTACATGTCGCAACGCAACCTTCATAAAGCGCGTCAATTGTGATTTGTACGATACGTTTCCTACTAAAACCATCTACATTCATATCTCATAAAATGTCAGCCCAGCTGAGTAATTTTAACTTCTTTAACAATTTAATCTTTCCTGTAAACTAGCATGCCTTATGCAAAAAACTGTTATTTGAGAATAAAATATTATTATTAATGACGTTTGTTGGTTGAGATAAGAGAACATTGCGAGCGAGTGTAAATATACTCGTCCTGAGCATAGTTCACCCTCCAGACGACATATTATCACATTCTAAGGCTGAAACAGAGCACTGGGGTAATCCGTCTAATCAAGAAACACGGAGGCACAGTAAAACATGTAACAATACGCTCCCAATGTTGACATGCAAGTATCTATCCGCAATTGATCTTGCATTTGACCCATGTATAAAACTAGGAGCCTATCCGTCTGCATGAAAAACACCGTTCATCGACCCTATATTCGAAACGGGATCTCGTACCAATGCTGTTAACCACAGACTTAATTACATGACCTACGTGCTATCAAGAGCCCTGGCAATAAACCGTTTTTGAGTAGCCAAAATCGCTAAAACTTGCGGCAAGCCGAGTAAACGCTTGTCAACATGGGTTTGTGACAAAGCACATCTCATATCTCACTTGAAATTCTCTGATCAAATCACCCAGAGAAGATATATTGGTCAATCTGTAATCACCCTATACATCGGTTTCAGTAAGGGCTTCAAAAGTGTTTCATACATCCATCTTCCCCCAAAACCTTCTTCATTTCACTAACGGGATCCTCGTTCGTCCTCTTTCAAATTTTTCAACAGAACGTAGTCAAATCGTTCACTTCTAAAACACTGCGTTTGCTTAAGGAAGTGTGATTAACTCATGCCTCTCCCATCCTTTCATCAATATGTTCCCACTTCCTTAATACGGTAAGCCTTCCATTTTTGCCGGTAACCTGAAAGTGGTTTGTTCATTGTTGCTCCCCCTTCAAAGAAATCCATATTTCTGCGACAATCCAAAAAACAAACAAGTTATATAGTCGACCCAAACTGCAGTATTCGGTCTGAACACGAAACTAACGAAACAAATTTTATTCCATTAAACCGAATAGTTTTAACTTCGTCAAGACGTAAACTCTGTTCTTGGTGAAATTAGTCTTAACCCAAGAAATATTTCGAAAGTGCAAGATACCCTAAACGGTATATTTTGTTTCATACAGTCATTCTTCTGCACACAAAGCGCGTTAAATACCTAAACGTTTATATATAACTGCTAGGTACCTGGGAATCAATGAAGATACACTCATGGAAATTGTATCTAATATCTAACTTAAAGGATTGGAGTAACTGTTTCCAGCAAGAAACCCATGGTCAATGAGCATCAATCAAATCACGTCGTTGCCTCGAGCCCAGCCAAACACGACATTATTGCCAACAGCTCGGGAACACAACGGCAAGATTAAAGGATATATCTTAACCGGAGTCAAGTAATCGGGGCTAAGACTGAGAAAACTGCAGAACATAAAATGTGGCTACAAGTATCCTGAGTCAAAGTTAAGATGCAAAATGGGAAGAAAGAAGGGAGATAACAATACTATTCAGTAAAAAACTTTTGTTGTCAATAACCCACACATTTACTGTACAGTTAAGTATTTTATATTATGCTTAAACCGATCACAATAATACAATAAAATGTTATACTACGTACTCGGAATTTGAGTTCTTGATTTTGTCTTTTTGAAGTTCTAGTCTTGTTGAGACTAGCACTATTTCTTTACGTTATCTGAAATTTTCATTTAGCGCCGCAATTCAAATGGATTCAAGTAACTTGAGAAGTGGAAGCATATTCGTAATGTTCTGGTGATTATTATTTGTTAAATAATCTCAAGTAGGATAGTATTTCATTTCTACAT